AATAACTAAAACAGATTAAAACTTGTTTTTCATAAATAAGAGCCAAATTGGTAGGACATGTGTTTGTTTTTTCGCATTTATTCAAAGCTGTCTTTTTATTGAATAGGATTCGCTATAAAATGGCATTCAGGAGCTCTGGCAATGTAGCCAAAAATTAGAAAAAAAATCAAGATGTTATATGGTTTTACAAGTACGGATAGTGATAATCAATAATTTTTGCTTAACCAAATTTTGAAAAATGCATTTTCATACGACAATAGCAATTAGCAAACCAATTATTTTAAAGGAATCTTTCTTATTCATACTAAACTTGGAACTCTATTTTCATTTATCTGTGCGTATACCAGATTTTCGTGCCGTCTTCAGGAGCTTTGGTTAATCAACCCTCTAATAACATTTACATTACATTTTATATTGATAAGCGCCAGTTAATGCTTTAAAAGTATAATAACGCCATTTATTGATCTGCACGATATAAATGACATATTTGAATATAACATGCGTTCCCCGGAACCGGATTGACCTCAATTCGCGGCTGAAAATCAACCTGTAGCCGGAAAGTCCGGCTTCCTTGAACCGATTGCGAGGGGTACAAGCGATTCGTTACTAAGAAATTGCTGCGTTGCCAAGCCCACGATATTTGTCGCAGAATATATGAAAAAAAAGCCAACATGATCCAAGCTTAAGTATACAAAGATTTTCTGTATTAATTGGATTCTTTACGATTATCATTTCATTTCCCGGTGAAAGTATTCGACGAGTGTTCTCTGTAAATCGCAAGTTTGGTGTCTTTTCATGTTTCAGAATATTGATTTCATTTTCCAAAATATTCTCTTTAATTACTTTCAATATGTATTCCATACTAAGATCACTTATCTTGAAGATGTAGCAACAGTGAATAGTAAATTGCATAACGGGTAAATATTATTAGACTTCAGAAAAAAAGCCAATAGTTGTACATAATGGATAGGAACATAAATTGTTGAAAAACAGTTTAAGATAATGGAGTCGTAAATTTCAATCCTGTTCTTTTTTTCGGTGTCTACGCTTACAAGCACTTCACAGCGAACTATAAGTTTATAGCTATAGAGCCAAAAATAATTCTAAAGACAATATTTAAAAAGATTATGCTGATTAGGTTCTTTTAATACCAGTTGCCTGACGAACAGGATCTCAAACGGAATAAAATAAAAAATTACTTATCAAAATATAGGAACAAAACATTATACCCATAGAGAAAATTTTATTATCTCTGACTGTGACTAAAGCTACATATTTCACTAGATCTCCGCAATTTAAATTGGAATAAGCGTTGTTGCCACATTTTCCGAACCGGTTCGGTACTTTCGTTGACCTACATCAATAATTGTGGCTTGTGATTTAAAGATGCTAAGCGCGTAAACAAAGTAAGGAGAATTCCCCAGTTATGTAAACAACGTTCTCGTTCTCTTTTACTCTTATCATCATTAGGTTTGGAAATTTTAGCATTTTGAAAAGTCATGTTTATACAAGCGGAGCTTCGCAATTTATAGATGATAGTCCACGTCCTGGTAACTAGAATAGTATATTAAGTTACAACTATGATAAACACCACTTTAACCTGTTTAAATTGTCCTTATTTCTACAAGCATTTAAAAAAAGTGATATTTTAACAATTTTATTTGGATACATTAAAGGTATAATAAAGAAATAAAGAAACAGTGAATACCAAGTGATATACTACGAGCACATTTTTGTAAAACAGCATGCATACGTTCCCCATCATAACTGACAAACGTTCCAGTACCATCAGTGGCTAAAATTTACCGAAAACATCTGATCGCTCCCAAGCTTGTAACCGGAAACGTTCGAACACAACCGTGGTTATGGAAGACCTCTTTTATAGTGATACTTTGCGCTTGATAACTTAGATCAAAGATGTTCCAAAGCTACATTATTTTTGTGAACCATCTATAGACGTCCAATTTTCCTTTTTCCAACATTTGTGGCCGTATATCGGCAATAATACGGCGAATGTTATCTTCCAAGTGGTCAAGCGTTTGTGGCTTATCCGCATAGACCAATGACTTTACATAGCCCCACAGAAAGTAGTCTAGCGGTGCTAAATCACAAGATCTTGGAGGCCAATTCACAGGTCCAAAACGTGAAATTAGGCGGTCACCAAACATGTCTTTCAATAAATCGATTGTGGCACGAGCTGTGTGACATGTTGCGCCGTCTTGTTGAAACCACATCTCCTGGACATCATGGTTATTCAATTCAGGAATGAAAGAATTAGTAGTCATAGCTCTATACCGATCACCATTGATTGTAACGTTCTGGCCATCATCGTTTTTGAAGAAGTACGGACCAGTGAAAGCGCACCAAACAGTCAGTTTTTCTGGATGTAACGGTGTTTCGACATACACTTGAGGATTAGCTTCGCTCCAAATGCGGCAGTTTTGTTTGTTGACGTAGCCATTCAACCAGAAGTGCGCTTCATCGCTAAACAAAATTCGCTTAAGAAAATCGGGAACAACGGCAATCTCGTTTTGCACTATTTGCAAGCGTTGTTCAGGCGCGAGTCTATTCAAGATGAATTACCAAACCAAACTGAGAATAAATCACTTGACAGCTGTTAAATCAGTCGCCATCTTGAACAGTAATGCCAACTTAAAGTTCTATACATCGAAAAAAACTCCCATTATATATTTGTAATCAAGAGAATAAAATTCACCAGATTTCCATGTTTAGATACAGGCTTTCCGGAAAAATGACAACCCGCCGGAATTTGAGAGACTTTTTTTTAATCTTATTTTTGATTACAGGACAAGTAGCAATTTAAGGTTCGTCAACTAATGCTAACAAAAATATCTGTTTGTCAATGTATAATGAGAAACTTGCTATATGTACCCTCCGGTAGGTCTTAAGGACATTATTAAGAGATGCGAATAATTTTTTTTACAAGTTGAAGTTTTCTTCCTTGCGTTCATAATGCCTAAACAGCCTAAAAAAATTCTAACAATGCATTATAATTAATTTGACAGTAATTAATGCAGCTCATTCAAAAACAGTTATCTAAATATTAGAATCTAAAACACTGGAAAATTTTCTACTGTACAAGGAAAATAACGAATCCCATTACATTTCACATTTAAATATTTATCATAAACAGGTTGCAATCATGCCAGTTCTCATGTACCTACCTGACATATAGCTATTATACATAGTGCTTTCACAAATCAGTGGTTGTAGCCTAATTATTGCAAGGAGAAGGGTGCAATTTGTAGTTATATTGATAGAAAAATTTTACTTTTTAAAACCCTTTTTTTCCATATGACACACTGCTAGTAGTTGGTCAATGTGGTAGTTTTCAGTTTGTATATCATGTTGCTCGGCAGTATTACGTAAAAATATACCCAAAACCAAATAAATATCCAGGGAAAAAATGAATTCATTGTGAAGAAAGCGCTGTTAAGTAAGAAGATTGTGCAAAGTGCAGTTTAGCAATCCTATTGGGCAGTGCAAAATAAACAAATAAATGACTTGCAATAATGTATATGAATTATAATTGAGTTTGTTTATGAGAATAATTGCATCTTCCATAACTTTTCTGGTTGTATTTTTCATACATGGAAAATGTATTTAAAGCTATATATATTTTTTATATTAAAATATTTAATTCCAATACGTGTGGATCGCGCCATCTATCCGAACGAGGTTAAATCAGATGCTCCAACTTCAAGATTACTAATCTGCAATCTGCAATATGAAATGCCAATTTTTCATTTTGTTATACACTCAGATCTATGCATACCATAAAAATATACAGGCGCACTTTGTACATTTTTTTTAGCAGATAAAAATTGCTATTTAAAATGGGCGTATTTTGAGCTAGTAATTTTTTGGGCCTTGATTTTTAAATTAAATTAAATATTCTTTCCAATAAGTAAATTTATTTTGTTGATATTTAGGAGATTTAATTAAATCAGTTCAACGTATTAAACCACTGTTAACACAGTTTAGTATTTAGCGAACTGTGCCGCTGATACCTACTACCCACTGTGCTATTTACTATGCCTATTACTGCGCTATCTTAAAAATGACATTAAAAGAAAGGACTTCGGGAAAGATAGGTTCGCCCAATTCATCCACACATATAAAACATTAACCATTTGCATTTGTTTAACCGCCATTAATGGTGAAAAAAGGAAGAATGTCTAAAGTAGATATATACATTTTTTAGTTCTAATAAACCAATTTTTATGGGATACCTAATTTAATATGGTTTCGGTTTGACAAAATAGCGGTATAGTATAAAGGTTGGAATGGTTATTTCATTATAATAGTTGACAATTCTATCAGAGGTTTTTATAATTTTGCTGATACTATTTATATTTAAATTTAACTTGCTGTCTTCTTTTCTTTGTAGAAAAATTTAATTTTTTTTATTCGTTTTCAGAAATTATAATTAAAGAATTACACAAAAGTGTGTTATAAATAGAACTTATTTGCAGTCATTAAATTAAACTTTTGAGAAACTACATGTTGGTTTAAAATGAGATTTATTTTTTCATCGAAATAATTAAAAATTAGTATATTATGCAATGAGTGTGGTAAACGGCGTTCGAGCCACGAGTGACTTTACCAAACGTGTTGCATACTATACTTTTTAAACGATCGTTAGTTTTTGGGTACATTTTTGCGAAACAACATGAATGGATTGACTGACATGACTGTCAGAATTGACAAACGTCAAAATTCAAGCTGTGCCGTAAAATCTCCGAATACATCCGATTCTGAAATGACTCGGATCCATAGGAAACGAAACTGATGTGGCAAGGTGACAGTTTCCGCATGCTAGATCGGTGTATAATTAGGTGTTTAAGTAGTTATGTGACAGAGCAGCTATGTTGAACATCGCCACTTCGTGATATGCATGGTCTGTTTTGTATAATAAAGATATAATTTATGTATATAAAATAAGTATTAACGTATTTTATTAAACGTACAATAAACATAATGATACTAAATAATGTAAACACTAGTATAATTTTATAAACTCTCACAAATAAACAACAATTTGCAAGCACAATTGTCGTTATCGTATTGTCTAGATTCGTATTTTCTAGTTGCCTGCAAGTAAGCACCTAATTTTAGGCAATATTCGGTTTGAGCTGATGAATAAACCGGTCGAGTCGATGCCCAGTTGAAGTATCCAATCCGTTCACCAGTACTAATCCAAACCCAAACGCCATTTTGTAACATAATGCCTCCTAGCCAGTAGCTCTCTAAAAGATTTTTTTGTAGTATGATATTTTAACGTACAATTGGATAATTTAAAAATTATATCCCTCAGTTAATTTATAAAGTCACTCAAGCCGTAAATTTCATTTATAATTACTTAATTATTTTTTTAATTACCCCGCAAAGGGGACACACGGACACGCAAGAACGCTTACACATATATTAAACTTAAATTTAACATTAGTTCGAATTAATTATGTCAGTTTCATTCCAAAACTTACTTATCCATCTTCTGATTCAAAAACAAGATAACCCTTTCATTAAAGAATATATAATACACAGATCAACGGGGGGTTATGCTAATGACAAAATTTTCAACATTTCAACATTATCATACAAAAATGATATTTAACCATGCCTACGCAAGAGTCATATCGTTTTTGTGCAACAAGTATATTATAGAGTAAGAGAGATGATAAGTGGTTGATGATGCATGTGACTTCTTGGTAGTATGTTACACTTTAGTAGTATGGTCTTCTTTCAGGATTTGTAACTTATTCTTAGATTACAAGTCAAAACTCTAAGGGCTTAAACGACTCCTTTAAAAATAGTGCGAGCGTTCACAGCGGAACAAGTAACACAATATAAAGATGGAAAAAGTGATACTCGAAATATCGACAACCTTTTACGGGAAATATTATTGTTATTGATATTATTGATGTAACGGAATATGAAACTAATATTACAGTCTCGTTTAATGTTCGACGATCTCCTGCGTTTTGACTTTTGGCTACTTACCCAAAGGCGACACTCCCAGCACATTTAGCGTATCATTTAATCGAATGTAATCGTCTTGATTTCTAATGGTGGCCAAAGTCATCCCTCCAGTTTTGCAAATGGCCAATGCTCTGGCGAAAGATTGCTGAAAGAATCTGTCTTAAGCTGTGAGCAAAAAAAGTATTAAACCACAGTCCCTCGTCAGAGTACAAAATAATTTTCAAATTTCGATAAAATTCTATTATTACATTATGGTTATATGAATATGACTCTAATTTTGCCAACAATTGGTTATCTTTTTGTTGGTGTAACTCCATATATGTAGCTTTTACAATACATGTGTTATATATATATATATATATATATATATATATATATATATATATATATATATAGCGGTATAGTATAAAGGTTGGAATGGTTATTTCATTATAATAGTTGACAATTCTATCAGAGGTTTTTATAATTTTGCTGATACTATTTATATTTAAATTTAACTTGCTGTCTTCTTTTCTTTGTAGAAAAATTTAATTTTTTTATTCGTTTTCAGAAATTATAATTAAAGAATTACACAAAAGTGTGTTATAAATAGAACTTATTTGCAGTCATTAAATTAAACTTTTGAGAAACTACATGTTGGTTTAAAATGAGATTTATTTTTTCATCGAAATAATTAAAAATTAGTATATTATGCAATGAGTGTGGTAAACGGCGTTCGAGCCACGCGTGACTTTACCAAACGTGTTGCATACTATACTTTTTATACGATCGTTAGTTTTTGGGTACATTTTTGCGAAACAACATGAATGGATTGACTGACATGACTGTCAGAATTGACAAACGTCAAAATTCAAGCTGTGCCGTAAAATCTCCGAATACATCCGATTCTGAAATGACTCGGATCCATAGGAAACGAAACTGATGTGGCAAGGTGACAGTTTCCGCATGCTAGATCGGTGTATAATTAGGTGTTTAAGTAGTTATGTGACAGAGCAGCTATGTTGAATATCGCCACTTCGTGATATGCATGGTCTGTTTTGTATAATAAAGATATAATTTATGTATATAAAATAAGTATTAACGTATTTTATTAAACGTACAATAAACATAATGATATTAAATAATGTAAACACTAGTATAATTTTATAAACTCTCACAAATAAACAACAATTTGCAAGCACAATTGTCGTTATCGTATTGTCTAGATTCGTATTTTCTAGTTGCCTGCAAGTAAGCACCTAATTTTAGGCAATATTCGGTTTGAGCTGATGAATAAACCGGTCGAGTCGATGCCCAGTTGAAGTATCCAATCCGTTCACCAGTACTAATCCAAACCCAAACGCCATTTTGTAACATAATGCCTCCTAGCCAGTAGCTCTCTAAAAGATTTTTTTGTAGTATGATATTTTAACGTACAATTGGATAATTTAAAAATTATATCCCTCAGTTAATTTATACAGTCACTCAAGCCGTAAATTTCATTTATAATTACTTAATTATTTTTATAATTACCCCGCAAAGGGGACACACGGACACGCAAGAACGCTTACACATATATTAAACTTAAATTTAACATTAGTTCGAATTAATTATGTCAGTTTCATTCCAAAACTTACTTATCCATCTTCTGATTCAAAAACAAGATAATCCTTTTATTAAAGAATATATAATACACAGATCAACGGGGGGTTATGCTAATGACAAAATTTTCAACATTTCAACATTATCATACAAAAATGATATTTAACCATGCCTACGCAAGAGTCATATCGTTTTTGTGCAACAAGTATATTATAGAGTAAGAGAGATGATAAGTGGTTGATGATGCATGTGACTTCTTGGTAGTATGTTACACTTTAGTAGTATGGTCTTCTTTCAGGATTTGTAACTTATTCTTAGATTACAAGTCAAAACTCTAAGGGCTTAAACGACTCCTTTAAAAATAGTGCGAGCGTTCACAGCGGAACAAGTAACACAATATAAAGATGGAAAAAGTGATACTCGAAATATCGACAACCTTTTACGGGAAATATTATTGTTATTGATATTATTGATGTAACGGAATATGAAACTAATATTACAGTCTCGTTTAATGTTCGACGATCTCCTGCGTTTTGACTTTTGGCTACTTACCCAAAGGCGACACTCCCAGCACATTTAGCGTATCATTTAATCGAATGTAATCGTCTTGATTTCTAATGGTGGCCAAAGTCATCCCTCTAGTTTTGCAAATGGCCAATGCTCTGGCGAAAGATTGCTGAAAGAATCTGTCTTAAGCTGTGAGCAAAAAAAGTATTAAACCACAGTCCCTCGTCAGAGTACAAAATAATTTTCAAATTTCGATAAAATTCTATTATTACATTATGGTTATATAAATATGACTCTAATTTTGCCAACAATTGGTTTGTTGGTGTAACTCCATATATGTAGCTTTTACAATACATGTGTTTTGCAAATTAAAATATCATTTGCTAAATACTTATCTAAACAATTGGGTAATAAAATAATTTGATTTTATCGGCTAATAATATTATATTACTATTAATATGACGTCCATTAAAGTATGCAACATATAAGAACTATTTGAAACTATTTTATTGAACGATTTATGTTCTTGACTTTTGCTTTTAATCAAACCAAAAAAAATGTGAAAAGTAACATTTCTATATTTTAGTAAAAATTATTATTTTGAAATGAAATTTGATAAAAGTTTTTCGATAAAAGCGTTCTTTTTAATAGTTATTTTTCTTCATTGTGCCCTAAGATATAAATAAAAATAAAGTTAAACAAGGAATGAGAGGGATGAAAAGTAAACTACGAAATATTCAATAATGTGTCACCACTACCACCGAATGATATTTTCATATATTACTTTTTTTAATGTACCTAAACTTAAATCCTAACAATGTTTTTCTAAATATACTCTCAAGGTGCATAACTAGTGTATAAACCTCTGAAGTAAAGTATCTGTTTAGGTGATTTTCGACATATTCTCTATAAACTTTTGCCTCGGGATAAAAAGTATCTCTTTAGTTCCTTGGATACCATCTAAATATTTTTCCCAAAAAAAAAATCCCCCTTTCAAATTCCTGGTCTAAAATACCCATTATACAGTGTGGCTTAAAGACGTTACCTAGGGATGCGAGCGGCTTCGGATATTTTCGGTGAGCCAGGGCTTTGGTTTGTCAATTCTGATGGTCAAGGTACGCATATAGTATGCGACACTGAAAACTTCAGTCATTCATTTATTAAGCACTCCCTCCGTTGGTGCCAAATAAACTAATCTGGCGTTTATCAAACTTGTTTACCAAAAAATTTCTGAAGATTTTTTTTTAAAGGAAACTATCACAGAATAAATTAAGACTATTTACAAATATTCTGCATTGCACCTGCGTCGGTGGTTGATAAATCGATCTTGCTGACGTTTCGCCAACCATCCTGGAGATCTCACAGATGGTTCTGTTCATAAATTTCACCGTCTCAAAAAATATGTTCAAGACATGAATTTTTCAATTCGTTTGTATAGGTTTGATTCCAGATTCCCGAATTGCAATATATCTGAAAGAGCTATGTCAAAATTAATCAGAGAAACGGAACAAAAAATATACGACTATGACAAATAAAGTCAAATAAAGTTGCCAAGAACAATAATGAAACCGAAATCTCATTAGATCAAATTAAAAATTAATCAATGTAATCAATTCTTCTACCCGGAAATATCCGAGAATCCATAGAAATCTCTAAACAACCAAACAATCTTAACCGCGACTCTGTCTTTCACCAATATGGAAATCTGAGACAATGTTCATGTCCTTTTAGTTCCTCTTCTCTCAAACAGTATATAAATGGGTTCAGAATAGAATGTGAGCAAGCTTCACTTAAGCTCTGAAGAAGCCATCAGGATGATTGGCGACACGTCAGCTAGCTTTGTTTATAACCAAACGATGCAGAAGAGATCTAGAAGATTTGTAAATAGCCTTCTGAAGAAAATGTTAATTTTGACGAGTAAGGAATGCTGCTCCCATTGCTGTTGTAAGTGTTCTTTATAATGTTATAAAGATTTAAAAAATCCTTATGTTTATTAAAACTAAAATAGTAACCTCTAATTATTCCTCCTAAATATTCCAAATATCTAACATCGATCCATTTTAGACCAGCATTAAACACACAACAAAGTAATATGATGCCTCAGTTGGCCTCGTAAAAGAAAATTATTGAAAATGGCGTTAATTTCCAAATTAACAGTTTTTGTTAATTTGGTACAATAATTTATTGATCTGCAAATAAGTCAACTGTCAAGAACTTAGAAAAGAATTTAAAAACATAATATTTGAATAGTAGTATTTCATTTTTACAAAACTTCTGGTATCCTCCTGCGTCGGTTTTGCTGAGTCGAACTTGCTGACGTTTCGCCAATCATCCTGTTGGCTTCTTCAGAGCTTGACTGAAACTGGCTCACATTTTACTCTGTACTTGCTTATATATTGTTTGAGGAGGGCGGAACTAAATGAGGGGCAGATGACCGATTCCCATGTTGGTGACAGGTAAAGACCAGAGTCGCGCTTAAGATTGTTAGGTTCTTTATAGATTTCTATAAACTCTCGGATTTTTCGTTGTTAGAAGAATTGATTACATGCAAGCATTTTAGTTTTATCGAATAAAATTTAATGTACGGTTTCGTGATTGTGTTCGGCAACAGCTGATGGGTTTATTTGTCTTAGTCGTGAGGCTCTTTCGTGTTCTTTGAGCCTAGTTGATATTTTTCTTCCGGTTTCTCCGATGAATTCTTTGCCGCATATGCATGGAATGCTGTAAACTCCTGGAAACCTCAAATGGAATTTTATCTTTGACGAACCGAAGATGTCGAGAGATTTTGGATAAGTGGTAAGTCTGGTTTTGACGTTATACTTCTTTAGAAATTTTGATATGTGGTCAGTGATATTTTAAATTTTTGAACATTGCGTCATTGTGTTTACAGAAAACTTACGCACACTGACCGATACCCTAATGCATGGTTACATCACCATCCGGTCCAAAAATCATCGTTTATCAACGCTCTTGTATATATATATATATATATATATATATATATATATATATATATATATATATATATATATACCGACCGGCAACCCAGGTCTTTCTCAAAAACTGCAAAACAAAGGACAAAAAATGCGAGATCATACAAAGAATTAGTTCGCTTACTGATGAATGATATATTAAACATTAAACAATACTTCATTACTTGAACACGCATTTATAGAAGTTCAAATTATTACTTATTAAAGTTAGTCACTTACTGTATCAATCAAGCTTATCAACATCTATGCCGAATTTCTCCAAGAATGTGAAGGAATTTTAAAATATTCGTACTCAAGAAGTTTTTTATTACACTCGCATTAATAGCAGAGCTAATATTGGTACGATGAATGAAAGATTTTTATTGATTCTAATTATGTATTATAAGATTCAATATATAGGAGTTTCATGCTCTTTGCAGACAAATATAATCCATCCAATCCTATTACCTCAATTTGATGGCGTTTTTGTTTTGTATCTATATCATTTGATTAAATCCAATCCATCAAAAATAAAAAAGGTAGAAGCTGTTCAGATAGATGTAATGCGCAGGTCACTCGAAGAGACAGGGTTAGAAACGATAGAGTCAAAGAAATAATGGGCATCGAAGGAACCGTAGTAGATGATATTGAAAGGAAACAATTAATTTGGTACGGACACGTGCAACGAATGTCACATATAAGACTTGCCAAGTAAGCAATGGAATGGCAACCTAAAGAACACCGGAAAAGAGGAAGACCAAAAACCTATTGGAAACAGGGCGCAACAAAAGCGATGAGCGCAAGAAACCTGCAAGATGTTGATTGGGAAGATCGAAACAGGTGGAGGCAAGGCGTCGAGCAACGTCGAAAGACGTTCTAAACCGGTTACATACACACATATTAAATTATCTAAGTATGTCTTGTAAATTTTACCCCTAATTCATAATTTTGAAAAGAAAAGATTATTTACAATTTTCCAAACGGTTGACTTCGGAATTTTCGTTAATGTGGTTGGTTAATAAATTTTTAATAAGTGTTGCGGTGTTAATTAAAGTTGGGTAAACGTTGTTTACAATTTTCTCGGGACAGTTCTGTCCTACAATGGAGCTATTTTCTGCGATCCGCATACTTGCCATGACTCTCACTCAAGATCGAACACACGGCCAAGAAGAGATAATAATAAGTTTAAAATTAATAAGCTATTTAATCTTACATCTATGTTGTTTTATTTATTATTATTATTATTATTATTATTATTAGATAATATTACAAGCACAAATAAATTTCCATTGCCTGTTTATGGCTACCCTTCATAAATTCGATTTACCTATTTCATAACACTATCTAAATAAAATTCCAATTAATTACATTTTTAAAAAACTCATTTTTTGTTTAACAATATATTGGAAATTGCGAACGTTTAATTTGAATTTATGTATGTTTCGTGGTATTTATTATTTTCGTGTACACCCTGTCTTCTTTGGCATAAAAAATATATTTATCTCCAATTAAAACGATGGGAGTTTGTTTGAAAACATTGTTGCTATTTTCATAAAAACCTATTATATTCTCTTATATTATTGCCAAGTATCAAAAAGCGGTCCATTTGTTTTGTTAATGCCCCCATAGATTATTCATAATTGATAATCGATTTAGGATTGTTTACATTTTTGGTACCAACGCAATTTCGATTTTTGTAACGAGTTGTATACGCTGTACCTGTATTCAATTTATCCATTGAATAAACTGAAAGCTTAATATGTATAAGAATTCAATAGTTTTAGAATATATTTGTCTTGAATTTTACTTACGGATTATAAATATTTCAATCCGTTGTCTAGCAGTATATTTTTGCATTTGCACTGCCAATATTTAATATATTGCTTAAAAGTACTTCGAAAATTACATAGACACATTACATATGAGTATTTTGTTATAAAAAATATCTTGGTTCAATCATATTATAATGATCCGTAAAATATTATCTTTTAAAATGGGTATTTAAAATATTGAACTCTATTTCAATTGGTAATCCAATATGTGGTAAAAGTACGTGGTGCGATTCTACATATAAAATATTAATAAGACAATAATATTAATTATTTTACAAACTGCGGATGTAATGTTCACCATATACTTACTACACCAAAAGAGACTTCGAAATATTTCTGTCGTACGAACAGCCTTCCAGTTGCGTTTATTGACGCTCCATCAGAATCTTCAGAATCTGAAATGGCGCTTACGAAAATGACAGCTGACAAGGCAGCCGTCACTGCAATCAATCTGAATGTCATTTTTTTTAGATTTTTAAAAGTCTTGATTTACCTTTCTAGTTCTTTGTAGCTTATATATTTAATCTGCCTTTGCTTATCGCAAATGAAATTTTTAATAACATCATTTGGAGCTTTTTATTTGGGTTGGAAACTATAAATGCAAACAAAGTCAAGGCCAACACCGTAAAGATCCGCGCAAAATATCATACGTCGTTAAACGTTTGTTCTACTTAATACTATAATAATTGAATAGATTTGTTCGACATACAATCTGCTTAACTACAAAACGAACCACACAGGCTTGGGTAGAAGTCACAGTCATGTTTAATTTAATTTAATATTTATTTCACATATGTACTTTCCAAAATAACCGATTTACCCAAATTCTATTAGGTCGTAGATTTTGTCAACAAAACAACAAAACGAATCTAACGGATGGAAAATTCGTTGGTACACGCATGGAATATAAAGCGAAACAGCTCTCAGCTTTTACCCCTACATTATATATTCCCATATTCTAAGTTATTAGCCCTCTGTGATACTATTATCTACCGCGTACTATTTATAAATGAAAACAACTAGTTTTACATGGCAAATAAATGTGACCTCGCTGATATTATTGTGCAAATTCGCATTATATTGTTCTACAAACATTGACGAAAATTCCCCTTGCCGGATTAGGTGATTAATCTTTGTTATCTTAACACTTGTAACTATTTGCTTCAACCATTTTTTTTGTTGTAAAAAAATAAAATCGACAAGGGAATATTTGCAAACCAAAGTTGAATTTGTGATAAAATATTCTTCCACTACCACGAAGATCCATTTTAAGCTTTTAATTGATCTATTTTTATATAAAACATCAGCAATAGGTATACATAGTCAAGCGTAAGAGCTTGAAATATTAATGGCTGAAAAATAGTCTACATACTCAAAACAGTTTATTAACCAAAGTGAATGACATATTCGATTTTGGTTTTTTATTTTGTTAAATAATGCATATTACTAATTAAAAAAATTAAGTTAATATTTACATAAAAAAATGTAAAAATTTAAAAGGGATGTCCATTAAAATCAAACAAAAATTATGCCTGGAATTGGGTATCCTAATGAACCTGTGTGCATGGAGATATTGGGACTTTTTTGGAATATTTCGGTTTTTATAATATAGTCCGTTTGGGTTTGGGTTACGCTTTGCATGTAAATTTTGTAAATAAACACGACATACTGGTATAACTGGTATAACTGGTATATTTTTGATAACATTTGTATCCTTGAGTTATTTTAATTTTAAAAATGACATAACAAAGAAAAGTGTATATTATTGTTATTGATATTATTAATTTTTAACGATTTCCAATTGCATGTTATTAAGAGATAAAATAAATTTGTGTTCTTATTCTTAATTTTTTTAAACAACATATAATAGTATTCGTATTATACTGAATATTTTCTAAATATGCGAACATATTGAAAAGCATGCCAACTCAAATCAACCTTGAGATCTTTAAAAAAAAATCAAAATGGTTCCAAAGACCTCTTAAACTCACTTACCTTCCGATCGAGGATGCACACGGGTTAACGAGACCTGGAAATATAGAACGATGGTGGCAACACTGTGAAAACCTGATAGCCTCAGAAGAGAAGATGATGTACAAAGCGGCAAAGAAAACACCCATAAACGCAAGCTTTTCATTTTTAAATCCAAGGTAGAAGCCGCTCTATACAACCTTAACAATCAGAAATATCTTGGACCAGACCAAATCATCGCGGCTGCATCAAACCTGCACAAAAATATGGAAAAGGGCCCGAAATCCCATTACATAAAAAAGAAGCTAAAGATGAATACGGCAATTACAGAATCGTTGCTCATATCATTAATGTTCTCTTGCAAATCATACAAGAGAGATTAAAAAACTACTGCCTGCCTCAGATCCCACTAGAACACTCAGGGTTGGTGCTGGTTCGTGGAATACGAGATTAACCTCTTAACCTATTACAGATAAGATGACCAAGGGAGGTTCCGAGCCAGAAATCAAGAGAAGGATTAGACTGGCAAAAGAAGCGTTGAGCAGGCTGGTCAAGATCTGGAAAGACCACATGGCAGCCCATGGCTCAGAATCTTGAACACTACTTGCCATAGGAGAATAGAGGCGTTTAAAATGATATGCCATCGCAGCATGATGAGGATCCCTTGGACGGTCAGTAGCTGGCATTATGAGAACCATATAGGATAGAGAAGGTTTGTACCATTCACGACGCTCGGAATCGAACGACTGGAAAAAACTATTAAAAAATTTTAAATGTTCCAGAGTTGAAATAATATCCTTGAAATTGCAATAACCATAATAGAAAAACATTTTAATTTTTATAATGCGGATCATATTTCTATTACATTTCAAAAACTTTTTTTAAGCTAATACCCAAAAATGTCTTGTTTACAATAAAGAAATTCATGGTACTTTGAATTTTATAATAATTATCATTAATTCATAAAATAGTAAAAAAATATATTTAAAAATTTAGAATTTCAAAATCGTTAAATATTGATTAGCTATATGAAATATTGCTTTGTTTATTTTTCTAGTCGAGTTAATTGCACCGTCTTGCTTACATAATAGTTATTTTTTAGGTTTCGTATTTTCCTTAAAATTGTTGAATTTGGCTCTGCCTCTTAACTGACAACACTAAGGCGACCATCTAAATACAGCTTTTGAACACAGGTTAAGACAGAGATCAGGTTAGTTTAATAATTAAACCAGAGTAATAAATAGAAAAAATAAAAATATAGAAAGAATAAACATTAATAATAGTAATAATACAGTATTTTCTAAGGAACAAATGATTTAATTACTTACTTACTTTTATTTTTTAGGTGTTAGGGATTGGGACAAGATAATGTTTATAGAACCTTAATCCTGATAGGTAGGTTGATTCGACTAAAGTAAAAAATAGTTCCTTTTTATCAAAATTTTTACAAAAGTCTGAAAACGGTATTGATTGTTCAGAAAACCAATAATCGGCTGAAGTGGAATTGAAAATTATTCCCAGATATATTATATAGAGACTAATTACAACACCAATCAGTCTAAGTCCTTCCCCCCTCGTTTGCTTTTTTCAGACGCTGAATAATTAATAAATAATTAATTACTCTGTATGCCTAATTTTGACCCTTATAAATTAAATTCAAAAACCTATTGTTAACCATTATGATTTTTATTTCATTTTGAGGTCAACTTCACCAGATATCCAAAAAATACCGTACACACATAGATATGTCGATTCGCATTACAGTACTACAGTACAATTTTCCAAATGCTTACCAATTATTACCTACAAAAAAATATTTTTCTACTCTCGTCTGTAAAATACCCAATTACACACCGATCTAACGTGCGGGAAGCGTCATTTTACCACGTCAGTTTCGTTTCCCACGGATCCGAGCCACTTCGGACATTTCTAGGATTTTACCGCACTGGTTTGGGAGCGAGCAATCGGATGTTTTCGGAGATATTTCCCACCCCTTGAATTTTGACGTTTGTCAATTCTGACGGTCATGTCAGTGAATGTATTCGTGTTGTTTGGCGAAAATGTACCCAAAAACTAACGGTCGTAGAAAAAGTATAGTATGCAACACGTTCGACATACTTTTTTAATCACTCGTTTATTAAACACTCACTCCGCTGCGCTCCGCCCGTGTTAAATAAACTCGTGAATTAAATGCCGTTTACAGAATTTGTTGCATAATATACTCTTAATTTCCTTGCACTATGAAAACATGAAACATGGAACATGTATATTAATATAGATTCAGCACCCTGTATATCTAGGACCTACATTCAATGCGCAATTGCATTTATAACGAAACTATCTTAAAAATGTAATATCCAACTAGTAAGTAGTAAGATGGTAGTAACAATCTACATAAAAAAAAACGTTTTTATTACAAGAATTAAGGTTGTTTACAAATGAAATTCAATTCGATTGTACAATTCAAATCATTCCATTTTCTTGGCTGCCGATATTGATTAAAATTTCCAAGTTCAAGGCAATTTTCGTAACCTCCAGAATTGTCCGGTTGCCCATCGCCCCAGTTTGTATACAAAACCATGTTACCCGTTGTGACCCAGTACCAATCGCCAGTTTTTAGCTTGGTACCCGCCAACCAGTAACCAACTGGAGAAAATTCAGAAAGCTTGTTTTTAGTAACTTTTTCAGTAGATTCCGTAGTTTCAAACACTTACCTTCCGTGGAAGCATTGAATTCATTAAGAGCATAGTCTAATTCCGCTTCGTCTTCTGGAGTACGTAGACTGACCAGTTCCAAACCGTAAGTTTTGCATAAGGTAAGGGCTCCGAGAAAATCTTGCTGCATTAGAAATTTAGCAACGATATCCAGTACAGTTAAATTATGGTTACCTTATCCTTGGAGATATAATATCCTTTCTCATTTGCACTTAGGTGTTGAGCCGTTAAGAGTAATATCGGGCTTAATATGAGAAGAATAGAAATAATTAAATTCATATTTATTGTTTACGTCCGTGTGATATTATTATTGAAACCTTTTTGTAAAAAAACACTTGAATTAATTTGTTTTTATACAGTACTTGACAAAATACTTCCCCGTTATCGCATCTGCTGCAGGCGCATTTAGATATGGAGCTGATAGCTGTTAGCTGGATATGTATACAAGGTGTTGCCGTAACTAATATATTAAGCTTCAAAACTAAAGCAAATTCTGTGTACCAAATTGACTAGTGAAGGAAAAAACAAAAATTGAATCATAGACTGCAAATTTCTGAAAACTGGGGAGAAGTTTTTGATAAAAAATTTGCAGGTATGGTCTTATTAGGCAAAAACTTAGCTATAGGATACCTTAATGAAGGAAAGTCGCCAATTATGGGGTATGAATTTTTCTTGCAGAAGTGTTTTTGAAAAATTATGGGGTACTATTAAAATTTTTCAAAAAATATATATATCTAATATTTTATTGTATAAAAAAGAATTTAAAAGTTCTATTTCTATCCTGTATTAGGCTGTTTGGAAGTGTTATTATGGAATCCAAGTATGATTTAATGTGGGGTACGTAACATTCATCTATTTCAAATTTGAACAGTGCAAAAAAAAGAAAAATCCAACAGTGCAATTTTAATTTTTTATTCTGGCGTAAGAAATTCCATGAAGGGAGAGTTCTTGATGATTCATAAGAAAGCGTTTAAAAGATTTAGAACCAGCGCACTCCATTATGGTGTTTTTTAAATATTTTATTTCTTACCTGTTGGGGATTGTTGGGGATTCAAAATAATATTCTTGGTAATTTTCAGGGTCTTTCACAATTTGTGCTATTAATGTTGAAATCACTAGACCTATTTTACCAATTCGCTTATCTGTTGTAACAAATATCACACAATATCATAACATTAGCCGGATTATTCAATACTTATGAATTATTTGAATATCGTCTAACTTGTATTACTATGGCTTGTTGCTAGTTGTGAGAAAAGAAACCTATAACTTTTTTTACTCCCTACTCTAAAATACCCAATTATGCACCTATCAAGCGTGTGGATTGTACCACTTTAAGACAAGTCACTCAGTGAATATATTCGTGCTTTTTTGGAAAAATGTAGCCCAAAAAAAAATGGTAGTAGATAAAATATAGTCTGCAATATGTTGATAAACTTCTTGAATGTAAAATAACTCCTATGGAGCGATCATCTTGATGTCAAATGTTTAAAATTCAACATTTTATTCGATGGGTAGGTAACATTAACCATTAGGGCTAAGCGTAATTGTTGTTCAAAATTGTACGTTTCATAAGTCACGTTTTTATTTTATAAAAAATATTTGCAAAATGTTCAGTACTGCACAAGAAATACAACTAGCATGCATTAACACACAAGTTTGTTTTTAAATAGTTTCGTTTTAATATCCAACACAAAGGTTACAAATTTTTCTCTTCGCAGATATACGATAACCAAAAGGTGCAGTCTTCTAGCTGATACTTATAAGGTTCGTTGTATTTGTAAAAATTGCCCAACTTGATGCAAAATCTTTTGGATTGCCCAGCCTGAGGTTGACCTGTTCCCCAAAGCGTATACTTCATTTCCGTTGCATTTCGCAACCAATAGTATTCCAAGTCTTCTCTCGACAGAATGCCGTCTATCCAGTAGCCCCCTGAGGAAGAAAACAAGCACGTACAGGAATTATGTATCCGTCTCTCGGTTTTTGAAAAATATAGTAGATTTTTTTATATACTTACTTGTATGGAGCCCTTGCTTTGCGAGAGCGTTAAATAAGTCAGATTGTTGTTTGCTGTTTTGAATGGCTGCCAGCCTAAGCCCGTGGATTTCACAGTCTAACCAAGCATGCTGGTAATTTTTCTTACAAAATAAGTCAATTTAAAGAAATTCTTGTCTTTTAGGTATACTTACTTCCATATATGAAAAATAATACTTATCGCTTAATGGACTTAGTTTCCATGATATCGAAACTGTTGAAAATAATAAGAAAATTGTAAGTTGTGACACCACGAACATTGTTTCGCATTGGTCGGAGGTTTTCTTTTGATTGTATTCTCGGTTTGTAATACTGACAGCTATATATTAGGAATTACTGAGATTTAGAACGACTTGTAGGATTATGAATTTAAATATAAAGTAACCACGAGCGTAGTCAATTTCTATTACCATGGTTTTAGAAAGGTCGCCTAGAAAGATTGATATCTGCGGAAATGCTCTAATACGTAGGCAAGAGTGTGGCATATCCTAGCAAATCCACAAATTGTATGTAAAATTTTATGCTCTTATTTATTTATTATTTATAATGCAAAGGTGTTAATAGTAAATGATAAGTGGATCGTTAATATCAACCCGGTTAAAATATTTCTGTATTTATTTTTATTTAATTTATTTAATTATTTTAATTTGTAATTATAGAGTTAAAGAATTTCCGTTTAATAATACATCGCGGAGTTAAAATTCTCGCGCGCTGTCTATGACTACAAATGTACGAAATGGAAAAACTTTTTTTTTTCTAATCCTTAGTTATACTATTTTGAATTAGTTAATTGCTTTAAAACACCTGTAAATTCGTTATTTCGTACAGCCCAACGACAAATAACAAATTGTGACTAGCAAAGCAAAACGCATTTAACAAAGATGTCAGTAAGTTTAAATATTTTCGTAATATTTATTTATTCTGTTGGACTAGTTGGGGCTAAAGTGGATCTGACGAACTTTAATGCACTTAGTGACCGATATTATTGTTCTAAATCTACAGTAAGTATCAACACAAAATTTAATTCCTCATCGAAAAACGTGTTTATTTTTAGTGGCAATTTCACGAGGCCCTGTTGGAATGCAAACAGGCTGGCATGAATTTAGTCAGTTTGGAGAGCGAAGAAAAACAGCTGGACCTGATCAAAGTTCTTCCGAATTACATCCCAACGGGTGAGTGTTACTTACTATAACTGTAATACAGAAAGTTTTAAGAGAACACTGGATAATTAGATGATTAGATCGAGCCATCTATTCAAAGTTCTTCCCAATTCTGTCCCAATCCGTAACAAATAAATTTATATGTAAATTTAATTATCTGGATGTTAATCTTGTCGTCATCATCAAATAATGCACGATATACACCCAATTTGCAAATTTCTAACTTCTATGCAGAATACGAATTTGGTCGGCATTTTAAGTGGCGCGTCTAGTATGTTTTAATATTCTTAGATTTGGCGCTTGATAGGACCATTTTATATTATTTTACATCTTAAAGTGACATTTTCCGCACACTTGGTTGACTCATAATTGATCGGGACATGATTTTATGGGTTATCTAACGGCAAATAACCCCCAAAATTTAAAAAAAGAAACAAGCAGTAGTAGGTTCAGAACTAGACCGACGTCTGTGGACATATTCGAGCATATTGCAAGTGAAAGAGTCTGCCATCAAGCTCTGTGCTAGAATGTCAGCAAACACGAAGAAAAAGCAATTTACTTATAGCCAGGCATGCCCCTCCAAAACTACCGCCTCCATTTATGCTGCGCATACGACATCCTATTAGCCACGAGCAGGCAAACCTGAGAACCCTGATAAGGATGTATACCAGACACTGCAATCTGCAAAACACATATCTCCCACAGGACTTTATACGGAGGTTGAACTTGATAGGCAAGCTACAAAAATTGGAAGTGTGTAGCAATAAATTGGCCAATAGGATCATGGCACACAAGAAAAACAACGTGAATATATGACAAACGCCCCGATCTGGGGTAGATCAACCTCCTGATTCCAAAAATTCAAGATAATACACAGTTCACTACTTATAATTGGAATGTTACCGTTGTTTTGGCACAATACTAAAATTGTACATTTAGCCTACATTAAAGGATTCCAATTTCAATTCAATATATGAAAATGTATAAGCAGTGAATTCCCCCAAATTTTAGAAATCATTGGCCCATATTATGTGGTATTGGGCAAATTAAGAATATTTTTTAGCTAGAGATTCTACCCAAACAAGTGAGAATGCACTTCGCCGGTAGCAAAGCAGTCGTCAGGCGGTGATAACTGGTGTGGGTGCTACGTGTTTATAAAGAAAAAGAAAAAAAAATGAAACCATGGGTGGTGGATCGTATCTGTTTATTAAAATAAAGATGTTTACTTTTTGCTCGTACAATTTAATTGTAGATAGGGAGATAAATATGTGCGAAAACTATTAACTCTCGTCAGTGTCATAACAACAGCGACAGCTTGAGTTATTATTGAGTTATTCCCAAACCTTTTACTGATATTTCGATTACCGCCCAACAACAAATAATAAATCATATCGCAACTTTAACAATCCAAAAAATTAAATGTTTTACTTTACTTCACGCCAATTTAGGTATTTTGACGGATTTAGTTTTGGTAACATAAAATACAAATTAATTTTACTTATTTATTTGTAAGCCTTGTCTGTGGATTTTTTTAGCAATTAATGTATCATTTACATTGGTAAACAAAAATTGATTATTCTATAGTATTCCAAAGTTTTTATGACTTTTAGGTAGATCTGGTAATAAGGTCAGAATATTTTGAAAATTCAGACCAAAGCCTCCTATAGCCACAGATTTGATAACAATATCTCATTTCTCTAGATAATTGATTCTAAGCATTGACTTTCCAATTGCCTTTATTGTAATTAATGTGTCTTGAAACACACGTACCAACTAGGAACTTTCATTTACTTTTTATTAGCATTGAGATTACATTACAACTCTATCGACTAAATTAAAAAAAATGAAAAAGAATTGATTTGATTGATAGCAATTTAGATTCATCTGAACTTTCTTTGTAGGCGGCTTTTGGATCGCAGGAGCCAGAACGAACGACGGAGACTGGTACTGGGTAGGTAAAAATTTTACCAGAGTTACGTTTACCAATTGGGGGTCTGGACAAACGACAAACTTTGTGGGAGACCATTTTGAATGTATGAGGCTTGGCAACTACAACAAATACGACGAAAAATACATGTGGGAAAATATCCATTGCTTTAAATTTTTGTATTTTATTTGCGAAAGGGATGTTTAAATTGTGCAAACAGATATTTGTCTATAAAGCCACAAATCTCACATAGATTGTAAATTTTAATAAACATTCTGAAACATGTTCTTTAAAACTATAAAATAAAAACCAGCAGTTAATTAATTTCATTTTGACAATATTTATTTTTCCCATGATAATTTAGATACATATTTCACCATCTTCCTAGTAGGTACACATCTTCTGGATTTCTCGTGTGTCGGGTGTTGATTCTGTGTGGCTGACGTTTATCTAAACATGCTGCTGGCTACTTCAGAGCTCTGCCTGAAACTGAAAAAAAATTAGAAGTATTTGTATACTCACCTACCTTTTTGGGTATTGTTAGCAGGTGTTTGGTTTCTTAATACATGTATTATTTTTTTCGAACTTTTGTTATGTTGTTTGTCATTATTTATTTAGTAAAGTCCGTTTTTCACTTGGAAACATTCGAAATTGTAGTGACATATTCATTGGATAATTAAAATTACTGTTGCTAGTTGTTTTCCTTTAATGCAATAAAAATAAATTGCAGCAGGTGTCCGACTTAAAAAAAATTGAGCATCTTTTGAAGGGCTACTCATATGATAATAATAATCTCGAAAAAAGAAAAATTCTAAAGGAAGCCCTCATTCTCAGTCACATTTCTGACTGTGCCAAATGGAGCATTACGTGCAGAGTGATGAAAATGATAAGAAAAGTATTTGCAAAAACAAAAAAATTTTAAAAGTAGCTCTAGTTTATATAGTGCGACCTATTTTGGGTGGTTTTGAGGCTTACTTCTCTTATTAATAAAGCTAGCGTGTTGCGGCTTTCGTTACCAAAGGGTGCTGTGTTTATGTCTTTAATTTGAGCTTCAATATAGTTCAATATTGTTGTAATAGTTGTACCTGTCTCGATTTTTTTTTTTTTTTTAAATTCAAATTTCTTAACTTTATGTATTACCTATCGACTTAATTTTGGCACTTATTACTTATCACATCTTGCCGTCTTGTGTCAAAGGATCTATATATTCTTCGCATTAGAATGAATTTTTTTCACCTAGTACGGTGACCTTGAAATATGTTGCGAATATTTTAAGCTAAGTATTCTATTTTTCTTAAAATTGAAGAACAAAAACAACTGAATTTGACAATATGCCATTAAGTGAAAATCGATTCTAAAAGGGCCCACTTTTTTTTGTTACAATTTCTTTATGATACCAAGGTTGATGTTAGACAGTTTTATTATTTATGGTACTCTGTATATGTTGTGTAAATTGAAATTCTTGTTTCCATTTTTTATTTTCTCTGTCACGCAGATTATATTGAAAAAGCTTTTCTTTCACATAATTTCATCGTTTAATTCTTTTTTATCTATTGAATCTTGTATTAACATCTGTAAAACTGATCTTTTTTGTATTGCATTTATGTGTATGCTTATTATTTTAAATGGGGCCCTGAAAAATATATATCCAAGATGGAAAGTTGCAACAGAGAAGATAAATTTCATAAAAATCTACATGCAGGATGTAGAAAGTACGTTGTTCCTCCGGTCTGTCTATCTAACAGAAACACTAGAAGTCGCCACAATGCACCGCTAAGAAATACAAATAATACATACATGTACGAGACTCAAGTTTATTTTAACAGAATCCATTGTTACAAGTCTGTCCTTTCGCAGATATAAGAAAGCCAAAAAGTGCAGTCTTCTAGCTGAAACTTATAAGGTTCATTATATTTATAAAAATTGCCCAACTTCACGCAAAGTTGTTTAGATTGCCGAGTCTGAGGCTGACCTGTTCCCCAAAGGGTATACTTGACTTCGGTTGCGTTTCGTAACCAATAGTATTTCATGTCTTGCCTCGACAAAACGCCATCTATCCAGTATCCCGCTGAAAGGATCAGCAAACTCAGTGAACAATTATACAATGAGGTCATATATACTCACTGGTATAGAGGCCTTGCTTCGCGAGAGCGTTAAATAAGTCAGATTGCTGTTGGTTGTTTTGTATAGCTGCCAGTCTAAGTCCATTGGTTTCGCAGTCTAACCATGCATGTTGGTAAGTTTTCTGTCAAAATAATAGTTGTCAATTAAAACAAGCCTATGAATTGATGTAGATACTCACTTCAGAATACGAAAAGAAATACTTGTCGCTTAATGGGCTCAGTTTCAAAAATATTGATGGAGTTGACAATGATAAGAAAATCGTAAGCGTTGATATGGCGAATAGCATTGTGTTTTATTTATCAGACGTATTCTTTTGATTGTATTTTCTTTTTTCAAAACCCACAACTATATATTATTTACTGAGATTAAGGAAGACTTTTAGGATTACTCAGATAAGTAGAAAGTAATCATAGGCGTGGTTATTTTCTTTTACAATGGGTTTGAAAAGATTATCAGGGCAGTTTGCTAAATTAAAATGTAATGAAAATTGTTATCATAGTATCAGTAAACAAAGCGAAAAAGGTGCTTGCCATATCCTAAATTATCAGTAAAATATATGTAGAAAATACCATTGTTTGTGATATTCGCAGGTGTTAAAAATGGGATCTACACGGCACTGTGTTGAAAATTACCGATCGAACTATCTATGACTTCTATGTATGAAACGGGGAAACACTTTGTGATTTACCTAATCCTTAATTACACACTCCTATTATATTTATTTGTTTTAAAATACCTGTATATTTGCCATTTCGTATGATACGACAACAAATAACAAATTGTTAACATTAACGCAATAACATGGGAGCCGGTGTAATTTTTTCTTTACTTTTTATTTATTGTTTTGCACTAGTTGCAGCTAAAGTAGATCTTACGAACTTCAATAAGCTTAGCGACCGATATTATTGTTCACAATCCACAGTAAGTATCAACCCAAATTTTAATTTCTTATTGAAAGGCGTTTTTATTTTTAGTGGCAATTTCACGAGGCCTTGTTGGAATGCAAACAGGCTGGCATGAATTTAGTCAGCTTGGAGAACGAAGAAAAACAGTTCGACCTGATCAAAGTTTTACCGAATTACATCCCAACGGGTGAGTTTCACTTGCTAAAACTGTAATACTGTAATTTAATGTGGTATCTTTGAATAAGCGAAAGTTGGTTTTATATAGTTTTTATGGACTATTAAAACTAGCGCATTGAACTTAAGAAGAAGTATTGGGATCAGTGTTTCCAATCAGTTTACATATAAGCTAAATTTTAGATGCTTTAATTTTTTTCAAGGTGGATTTTGGGTTGGAGGAGCTAGAACGGATGATAGGGTCTGGTACTGGGTTGGTAAAAATTTTACCAAGGTCACGTTTACCAATTGGGGGACTGGACAACCTACGAACTTCGTAGGTGACTTTTTCGAATGCATGAGGCTGGGAAACTACAATAAATACGACGAGAAATACATGTGGGAAAATATCGATTGTTTTGCGTTTTTGTTTTTCATTTGTGAAATGGATGTTTAAACTTTTAACAAGAATATATACGAACTCTTTAAATTGCAACTTCTGGAGTGAGAATCGCCTCTCTTTTTATTTCGTGTTTGCGTATGTTCAAATTATTACCGAATGCGGGTTAAGATTGATATTTAATCCCCTGTACCTATTTAAATAATAATTAAGATTATATTTATGGAACAACCAAGTAGATATGCCAATAATAAACATTCAATTGATTAAAATCGTATAGCTACCAAATATGTAGAGGCCTTGTTGTTAACACAGGAATTTTTGAAGCGAAGTTTGAAATAAATATTGAGTTGGCTATTTAATATTTTTGACCAATAAGTAGAGAAGCATATGTCACCCACTAACCTGCACCTTGTGCCATTTTCGTTCTATGTATCGATTTTTTTCACAGTTGCTTCACAATTTTCTATATTATCGACATAGGTCGGGCCTCTATATGATTAAAACAAATACGACGATTTAGTTGATAAAATCAAAATAAATAAGAACTAAAAGTTCAAATTTTCACGAAATTATATATTATGACATGACAGCTGTTTCGACAACACCGTGTCTTTATCAAAATCATTTGATAAAGACACGGTGTTGTCGAAACAATTGTCATGTCATAATATATAATTTTGTGAAAATCTGAACTTTTAGTTCTTATTTATTTTGATAAAAGGATTTTCATCAAGTAAAAGCCACCTCAGGTCAATAATTGATAAAATCAGCTTATGTCGATGGCAATACGAAAACTAGGGGTTCGCTGGAACTCGTTAAACGGTTTTCGTAGTTTTTGGACGTTTCTTCTTCCATTTGAGGCTTCTGTGGCCCATTACCGGGTAAACGCAGAGGTTCGAATGAAATGACTAACATGTCGTGTTAAGACCCTACACACGTAAGCGACTACGTACAGATAACTTTCATCTAACCTAAGCCACGGAGTATATATTTTGTCAAACAAATACATGGTCACAGACCAGTGGTTATTTTTCATATGCATACTATGAACGATTCATCATTCATATTAACATCTTCGTGTCGAACACTTTGTTGTAATTTACCTAAAGTTTGTGCATAAATAAAATTAAAGAAAGGTATTCATTAACCAAAATCTCGTGAACAACGATATTTTTAACTCCTTCAAATATCAGTTGAATCCTCTAAATAGCGATTAGAGAGCTGGTGCCGGGCATAATGATACTAAAAATGCGTTATAATAATTTGTTAACATTCTTTGTCTATTCTCTACTATAAAATATCCAATCATACACGCCTCAAGTGTGCGGAAAATGTGATTATAAAAGAGTCAACTTACCCAAGGACTTGAGTCACAGCACACACAGCAGGGGTGAGTCAGGGACATATTAATATACTATTTTTTATATTAATATGGCGGCTGATATATTAGTGGCAGTGTTGAATAATTATTTTTACTCTGCGTTTTAAAAAAATAGTTTTACGAGAATATACCTGAACTAACAGTAAATTACATAGTCTTTATATTATAAAAAGGATCATCCCAAATATTCTGTTCTGGTGTCAGCAGCTAATTTCAATCAATTCAGGAAAAAGACACAACGATATATTTTGAAATAAACTATACAAAAGGATTGCTAACACTTATCGAATAGTATAGCCTAGTAGTATATGCTACATCCTACATACTTTGTTTAAAAAAATGTATTATTAACTAATTACAATTACTTACTAACCAACAGAGCTACAGCTGAGCATACCATGTTGCTGGAATACTCCCAAGTTTTTTTACTCGTTTTAATAGTTTTATATCGATTTAGTTCATAAGGAAATGTTTCTGATTCAACGAATTTTTAGTAATTTCGAGAAATACAATAATAAAATAAAAAGTAATTTAATATAAACGAGCAGTTTTTGTTTATTACAAAAATAATTAAACATAATTTAAATTTTTGTAATAATAGAACAATTAACAAAAAGTTTAGATTTACATAAAAATATTGTTTCTGAAAATTGATTTAATAAACAGTATTGCCACTTCTAGCATCGATGCACACACGAATTCGTTGAGGGTTATTCCTTCTTGGGGAACATTTGAAGAAGCAATACACCTTTCGTGTAAATGCATTATTTTGCATTGCATTCACCTGACCTTCCGTTGTTATTCTCCCAAACCATTTCCTCCGTATATTCTTTGGGGTTCTGAATTCTAAAAACCACCAATATGGCTGACAGATCGTCAATAAGTTTTTACGGCAGTATTTTTCCAAAAAAGCTCAAGCTCCCTTTAAATTTTCAGCCAAAAAGGAGTGTTATGTGTGTGGATAACGCCTTTTAGACTGAAAATGGCGCAAAGTACATGCAGGTTAATGTGGCAATTCTAGTAAATCTTTATAAGCGGTTGTTGAAGTTAGTTTTTGAAATTAGTATACTCCTTTTGAACAGAAAAACATGTTAGGCAACAAACATGGGACAGCGCGATATTAAAATTCAATTTGTGGCCTAGATCAGATTTTCAAAATTTTCATACAGGGGATAGGGTTTTTAATTTTTTAAAATCCAGTTCCTAGTCCGATTCTGTATTTCGCTTTCGTTAAACCGACCTACCCATGAAGCTGACTGAGTTGGCATGAACATTAAATTTTGTTTTTTTATACTTAGTGAACCTAAAGTTATAGTCCAGGAAAATTAAATCAATAAAACGTCCCTTATTACGATGTTTTATGCATTTTATTATGTATATGCGGCTAAAGTACTTACAAATGAATTCTCATGTCAAGGAAATTCGACAATCTCTAAGAGTTATGCACCCGACCACATACTAATCTCAGGTAAACAACGTTTTCATATTCAAAATGTAATAATACTTACTTAATTACTAAATTAATAACTAATAACATTTTGTGCAGATATTAAGTTATTCAATTAGAATTAAAATTAAAAGTTTGGTTAATCCACTAAAATAAACTTTTTTAAATTGCTATATGGAACGTTGAGTTTCATTTTAGTTCTATACTTTTGGAACCAAACTGTACTTTTACCTCGTATTTTGACACATTGCGTCTCATTTTGTTGTTGTTGTTTGCTCCACATTGTAAAGTCCAAAGGATTTTGGTTCATAATTTATGTCGAATGTTTTTAGTAAGGTGTAAACCGTAGAGGAATTATGGACTACAGTATGACTGAATTCCAAGAAATTGTATAGATAGAATAGAATAGAATAGATAGAATAGAAGGAATAACGGTGACTACTCCTGCCCCTCCGTTTTTGGGCGCTTTGTAAAGGTCTTGTCTGGTTCTCTTTGGATATAATCTCATTGGTTCAACCAATAAGCTGTTTAAAGAACGCCGTTTGCAAGCGATCATATCCGTTTGTTGTTTTTAATTAATGCCATATTTTTTAACTCGACCTACATTTCCTTATCCAAATATATGGATTAAAACTCTCTATTATTTTGCCGCTGTTGTTGCTTTAGGTAATTTTGCACCGACTGAGCATATTGCACCAATATGATAAAATAATTAACCAAATGGCTTGCCATCTAAAATAGAAAGTATATGAATTTCATCTAGTGTATTGGCATAAGTCAAACCGAATAAATGAGACTATAATCAATTTGGAAAAATCCTCGAGCGCTGAACTTTAATCTTTGATGTAATAGTTGTATACATATTATCTGGACCTAAAATTTTAATTAGTGTATTGATGGTTTGGCAGCTGTGCATCACTTACTTGTTCGTCAAATTCAGAATTCGAAATTTTATTTCTTAGCTCGTGCAAAAGACTTGTGATTTCATTCGCCTGAAAATTTAAAGAACTGTACACAATTATTAGGGTTATAAGATTTTGTTATTGTGTTCTGAAAACACAAGGGATCAAATCTTTGGCTGACAGTCAAAATAATCGGGTGTTTGAGTACGATCTAGACGTCAAACGCCAGAACATGGAGTGGCACACTTCTAACTCATGCTGAATATGAAGAACAACTGAACTGAAGAACAAACGAGTTTTTGGCCAGAAAAAAACATTGCTAGTGCTCCTCAGCCTCTTTACTCCCCTGACTTAAACCTTTCTCTATTTGAAGTGGAAAAATCACGTCAAGGGATGTCCAAAACATTCAGCTGAAAATTTCTTCTGAACGGTCTCGGACGCTCTGTTCCTTCAGAATGATTTTATTTTATTATTATTGTTATTATTATTATTTAAAAAATCCACCTCGTTTCTTAATTGATAGTCCTCGTATTTCTACTGTTATTAAGTAGTCTCGGGTACATACAAATGATTCATTGTATATAAAGTTAAGGCAAATTCACTCGAAAGAGTGCATAAACTCTTCACGTTTGATATTTAATTAAAAGTTTTCACTTAACCCTTTTAATTTGGCCGAACGATCCTAGCTATCGGGGCCAATAGAAGTAAAAGAAGAAGAAGGACCCTTTTAATTTATCCAAACAAAAGTAACAGTCCATCATAAAAACATAATGATTCAAACACGTGTCAAAAAAATTATTGCAGCAAGAGAGAAGTTCCGTCTTGCATTAATATATATTTCGCTTCCTTTGAGAATATACTGTCCTATTAGAAAGAAGTACATCGTTGTGATCGCCAAAATTAATTGTTTTTTCTCTCAGACCTCTAGCGTTTTTTTTTACCGTTTACAAGGAACCTCCAACTAGTTTATGTAAATGTAATAAATGCTCAGGAACTGATAACGTCGCTATACTCATTTCTTTTCTAAAATTTTCAACTACCTCATTAATATATCTTGTTTTGCAGCGCACTTTCTCTTCAAACTGTTTAAAGATGCTTCATTAACAAACGCTTTAGTTGTTACTTTACTCCAAAATGGAGCAAAATAAGAAAATATATTTACCGTATCGCATACGTTGGTATAACTAGAAATAACAATGAAGACGACAATCATTTCATCAACAAGTGACACCACGCAGAAAACGATAGAATAGATGTCAGTGTTATTCGAGAAACCGTTTTCCTTTGTCGATACGAAATAAAGGAAATAAGAGAAATGCAACACAGAAACTAGAGATAGTGCCAACGAAAATAGTAATTCCATCGAGAAGATATCGTTAAGCTTGCAGGCAGCCTGACTCAAAGTTCGATGAATGTAACAGTATGTATGAAGCCGATCTGTTATCTGGCTATGCTCCTCTAAAATATAGAATGCATTTCAAAAACAATGGAAAATGTTGAGTTTTGAGAGTTACCTGTAAAGATCAATGCCAATTTGGTGCCGGAGTCGACTTTTGAAATAAGCCGCTTCATTCCGTTATTGATTTCCAAAAATCTTATATCAACGTGGAGCATCATCACTATGACGAAATATTTTCTTAGAATGTTGATTACTTTGGATAGGTTAGCAGTTAAACATTGAACGGAAAGAGATTGGAAAACAAGGATATGAGATAGCGATTTACAAAATCCAGAGCAAATCGCTATAATTATCAGCTTTCTGTAGATTTTTCTGAACTGTCGGTAATCGATACTAAGGCCTAAAAAGTGAAAACGATTGTCAAATCTTGACTGAATCATTGAGTTTGATACAAAGCAAAGGTAAAATTATTTTTTTTTTTTGAAAAATTTGTCATGCTAATTTTTTAAAGAAACTTCCCTAGGCTACTATAACCAAACTTAACTGGCTCGCACTTTACTCTGTACCTGTTTATATATATTGTTTGTTGGGAGATGACGTGAAGGATGACTGATTCCCATATTGGTGATAGGTAAAGACCTGAGGCGCGGTTGAGATTGTTAGGTTGCTTATAAATTTCTATAGATTCTTATATTTTTTGTTGGTAGAAGAATTGCATGCAAGAATTTTAGATCGAATAAAATTGTATGTCCGATTTCGTAAAGCGAATAAAAATAAAAATAACATGTTACATTTTGTTGAATGTATGCTAAAAGTGGTCATATTTTTGGCGCTTTATAATGGAGGCATTTTCTTCAAAAGCCCTTTAATTTGGAAACTGTTAGAATTATGTATTTGTCAATTTTACAGTCGATATAAAGCAAACACAGTTTCCACGAAAAAGAAGGATAGATCTAACGATTATCTTTTTATATATTTCTTAATTGCATACTATAAATAACTTCTTTGTTTTTTTTTTAATAAAGTAAGTAGGTGTCTTAACTACAAGTAAGTATCCAGAAGTACTTTGAAATTTCGTGTCATTATTTCTTGAATTTTTTTAACAATGACAAAAATCCCAATAATTCATATTCAAAATTTTGCAGTAAGTCATACAATATAATGATATTTTCTGCCGTTTATTTTAAAAAGTGCCAACTTTTCTAGTTTTTTTCATTAATTTGTTGTGTAGAAGTTAGTATATTTGTTATGATGGAAACCCAAAAAACGTATTTAAATATGATATGACATGCTATGTTAAGCACCTAATAAAAATATTGTAAACACGTAGTTGGTTTTAGGGTATGTTTTAATATAATTGCTTATTATTGATATCGAATACGATTATATAAAAAGAATTTACCCGGTCGCTGATCAATTAAGAAACTTCGTTCAAAAATCTGCGAAAAGGAAAATGGTAAGTTTGCGAAGCTCAAGACATCCATAAACATGTACAAACAAGAAACATAAAAAGTACTATTGATTGTATTATAACAAGACAAAAATCTCCATTAAAGCAAGAGTCCAAAGTGCATCTTGTGAGAGTTAACATTATATATTGAAAGGCAAGATAACATCAATTAAAAAAAAGAAATTATAAGAATATTATATAACACTTGGATGCACCAGAAAATACAACAGGTAGAATTCAATACTATAAAAGAAGAATATAAATGGATAAAGACATTTATGCATGCAGTTGCAGAAGAGGTGTTGGGTTACCAAAAGAAGAGCGGAAAATAATGAAAACCATATTGGTGGGATGAAGAGATTGAATATGAAATGAAAGAAGAGTGGAGAAATTACCACAAATCAGGGGCTAACAACGGGCTTTAACCTTACAAAAGGTGTTTAGCAAGGTTTCTGCATATCTCGGACGCTATTTGAAATTTATTTAAATTTATTTAAAAAATACACTATCATGAAAATGAAAAATTATGGGAATACCAGTAGATGACGATTATACAGCATTATACAACTATCGTTCGCGGCTGATCAAGTTATTGTTGCACAAGACATCGATGATTCGATGTCATCGACATGATATCATCATCATATCATATCATATCATGACACGCAAGCTGAATGCGGACTATGACAAATGGAGTCTAGAATTCACTATCGATAAGACGGAGTATATGTCCATTGGAGAACAACAATGAGACCTACGACTAGCAACAATACAAATATCAAGGAATGAAAATCTCTCAAGACGATACACTGAACGAAGCGTTCATGGAAGAAGAGCAATTTCGGAAAAAAAGACTGTTAAGAAGACTTATGGGGAGATAGGAAGGAATGCAGATTAGGAATCGGAAGACATCGAAGGTATATATAGAGGGTTATTCACGGCGAGTGTCTTATTAGACGTTTATGAGGAATGACTTGATGATGGTAAAAATATGAAATGTTGGTTACTTATGTAAGCGATTATCTGCTACATATGTAAATTATTTTTGGTTGTACGGTGTTGCCAGCCAGTGAAAGTAGTACTTTTGGTACTTTTAAATGTCAAATTAATTGCTAATTTACGTGCCAATATAAAAATTAAAGTTTCCACGTAACATGGAATTATATATCTCGCCAATTGGGCCTTATCTTGTGAACGCCCTGTACGCAGTAAGTTAATTCTCGTACTATATTATGATAAAGCAATTTAATTGGGAACCTCAACCAGAAATTTAAGTGTTTAGCTGCATGGGTTACGAAAACAATTATTATTTTATATTGGGGTGTTTGTTGCCAAACTTCTTAAAAAGTATTTTTTATCGTCAAAAATGTTCAAGATAGGTGTAGTAAATGTTACATAAAAAAGTTCCAGAATATTTCGCAGAATCGAAAAATGTAATAATATACAGGGTGCTCCATTTAAAGAACGAAAGTTGATACGTTACGAGTATATCTGGCAACACCCCATGGCCAAAACTATTTTACATACGCAGCTCATATTCGCTTGCATAAGTAATCAACACTTCAGGTTTTTTCCGTAGGTCATTCTTCATAAGCGTCTAGTAGGATATTTACCATAATAATCCATGTATGTAGGAACCTCTGCAAACTGAAATTCAAAAAAAATATTACATAGCACAAGTAGCACCATTTCAAATTAAAACTTCGGCAGCGCTTACGCCATGGGTATACTGATAGACGGGTGATGTTGCACCTCCAGACAGGCTTCGTCTAAATGTTGACTGTATATTAACACAGGTTAAATTTTCTATCTTTATCTAACAGCCAATCGCTACCCAGAAATGTTTCAGATAATTATAACCCATGATGTTCTGCAAGCTTTCGCTATGTCGTAGATACTATTAATGACATAAAGTAAAATACCATTCCTTCGCACGGCTTACTGCAAAGTTTTGAATTAGATTTTAAGTTTTTAAAACAGACCTATACCGTTGTATATTTTTGAGAAGCTTGAAGAAGGGTATTCATAAAACATAAACATAAAATTAAACTTACCCGCTCTTATTATCTCCACGTCTACTTTGTCAAACATATTAAACCATTCCCCTAACTGTGTTCTAATTAAAAATCCAAAGAGTGTCTGGAAAATTACGTTTACTGAGCAAAAAATTAAAAACGTTGTCGTTAAGATGTGGTCTGTTCTCATTTCGGCCACATTTTTAAAATTTGTGTTAATATTGTATATAAATAAAAACAAATATAACATAACGAACAAAATAAAATAAGGCACATCTCTTTTAGTAATTGGTCCTTTTATTTTTTTGTTAAACGTAAAATAACTTAGACCTGAAAGAATAGGCATTTCAAAACGATCTTTTTGTTAGAAACAAAAACTTACCAAAAACTCTTTGCAATAAAAGTAGAAGCCTTACCGATTGGCAAACATTTTTTTTATCCAGACTGTTTTTCAAATCGTGCACTTTCATTGTTTTTGACTCTTAACGGAAGATCACGTTTACCAATTTCCTTATGAGTTTCTATTCAGATTGTTACGGAAATTCTGTATTACTGAACCATTATCTCATTTCCATTCCAATCATAGATGTAATAGATATAATGTTAACCAAACTAATGGACAATGGAAAGTTGAGTAATATCAGAGTGCGTTTAGTCTATTTCGATATTATTTGATACATTGTACTATTAGATATACATTATATCCTTTCCTAATTAATAAATAATTAACATAAAGGCAAATAGTATAATTTAATAGCTCATCTACAGGGTTTATTATCAGTTTTTAATTAAAACTTAAAAATAATCTATCAACTAAAAGAAGATTAGATTCTTCGTACACGTTACGACTCGGTTTAGTAATAATGTTTGCTAAAGCCCAGAATGCAATTTCATAAACTTGTTAAACATTTTGTGTTAATGAAATGGCATCATATAATTTAGAGCCAGGACCATTCCCTCATGCACTTATCAGGAGTCTGCAAAGTGTCACTTTAAGACTTCAGATTTGCGAGCCACTTCAGGCGTTTCCGATACTTAAATAATAACACAGCGAAAAAGGTCCATATTATAGATGTCGCTTACCATGACTTGTTTCTGAGCTTGTGCAACTTTCAAAAAACAAATAATTATTATCATAATTTGTTTAAATCAAATTTAGAATAAATTTTGTAGGCATCAAAGGACCGGTGATTTCCATAAAACGTATCCAATTAATTTCAGTATAAATTTAATCGCTTTTTTTTATACATGCCGAAATAGCTGCAAAATTTATTAAAATATGCTGTCCATGTGGATATATGATATAATATTGTATTCTCTTCTAATGTTATTCTATCAAACTAAAAATACCAATAATTTTTGCAAAGTAAAATTTCAACAAAAAACAATTTGTAAGTTTTAATAAAATTAGAACATTTTATTTCATTATTTTATTTTATCTTGACAATTTCAAAAAACAAATTCAAATTCAACGAAGCGGAACACTTTTAAATTATCTACTCTGCTTTGATTCTTTTTGTGGATTTTTCTTGCTCGCATTGCAAGTCACAGCTTCGGAGTGGATTAATTTTAACGTATTTCGTTTTAATCCTCCTTTGATATTCTCCGATTGACAGAATTTCGTCGCTGTCTTCGCAAATCACCTAAAAAATAAAAAGTCAAACAGAAAAATTACGAAACGCACTGTCTAAACGCACTCTTAAATTATCGGCACACACTCCAGGGTGAATATGGGGATTATGCAGTTCGGCGATCTGAGTTGAAGATGCCGCGGCTGAATCCCCACTGCTACCTAACTTCCCATCCCAAAATTCGTTTCCAGGCATGGAATTGCCATCCCAAGCGTAAGTTACTACAAGTAACTTTCCTATAAGATCAAAATAATATTTATTATGTACAGTGTGTTCCATTTTGGGTTTAGGGCATATCTTCAAAAAAGCGTTGCGGCTATCGTGACCCAATGCTACTTTTTAATGAAATCAAAAATAACACAAACAGAGATTTATAGCTATTTTGAATTTTTTGATGCCGGGTACCCTTTGCAGCTCAATTATGCGGAAGCTTTTCAAAAAGATGGAAACTGGTTTGGATAGGATTTTTTATGTAGGATCCAGTGGCGCACTCAGTTTTCTTCTGAAACTCACAAAATTTGATGTATTTATTAAACTTGTCTTTTTTTGTAATGGAATATCCTGTATGTGTTCAATAATTTTATTACGCAAGCTTTTCAGCTATTTCATACAAAGCATATCCCTTTTTTTTTACGTAAATTGCATTATTGATGACAAAAGTTACTTAAGTGTCAAATTGTACTTAATACGTTGATAACACTACCGTATTATATCCATTGTCTCATGATTGTCATATACTGGGTTAACATGAGTCATAGCAGAAAGAAGAGGAGGCAGAAATAAAAATAATTACGAAATGTCATGATTGGTTGACAACTTAAATATTTTCCATGACCTACTCATACTTCGTACGTTTTTCAAAAGCTCATAAGGCGTCTAATATTAATAAAACATATAATACAAGTTTAGTTTGTATATCATAGCAAAATTTGTAAGATTCAAAGCATTGAGTCCCGAAAGCTACAAACGCGGGAGATAAGGGCTATTTCATACACAAAGCATAACTCTTTTTTTTCTACGTAAATTACATCATTTATTACAAAAAGTTACCTACATGTCAAAATATACTTGTGTCTGCAATATTAAATGCGCACTGATAATACTTCCCTATTATATCTATTGTCTCACGATTGCGATATTTTGATTTAACGTGAGTCATAGCAGAAAAAAGAAGAGGCAGAAATTAAAATAATAATTACGAAATGTTACGACAAAAACTATTTTCCATTTCTACTCGTAAAAAAAACATACAATTAAAGATATATGCTTTGTATTGTAAATAACTCGTATGTTTTTCAAAAGCTCATAAGACGTCTAATATTAATAATAAAGAATAAAAATAATAATAAAATAAAATAAATATACAATAATATGACTAAAATACACAAAGTTTAGTTGGTATTTCATTTCACAATTTGTGAGTTTTAGAGTAAAACTGATTACGCCACTGGATTCCATCTAAAACCCGAGCTACAGAGCGTGTCTAGAAATACAAAATTTCTCAAATTATTCTGTTTCAAAAAACCTAAAATAGCCATGACATTTCTGTTTGTACTACCTTTCATTTTATGAAAAAATAGCCTTGGGTCCCGAAAGCGACAACACAACTTATAAGATAAGCCGTAAAATTATCCAAACATCAGGTATCAGACATTTTGATATTTTACAAATACAATACAAAAACAAGAACTGCAACTACAAAACACTAACGGGAATTGACAAATTTGGAAATTCAAAACGTTTTCAGATTGAATTAAAAACGATCGCGCGTCTCTTGGAAACGGATAAGAACGCTTACTTTTCTATTAAAACTTAAAATGTGTACCTTCGTGCTCTCCGTGTAGTTTTTCATGAGGATCCCGCTTGTAAATGTGAATTTTTATTCCCTGTAAAGGATGTTCCGCAATCTGAATTTTTTGTCCATTTTTATATCCCCCGCAATTCTGTTCTTTGAAATATGAAAAACATATGTCGCTAATGTTATTTATTTTGGCTTTCATGGCGCTGCAAAAAGGGCAAAATGATGTATACAGAAAATAAGAACTATAAGAACCGCATGTAAATTAAATAAGAAGACTTCGGAATAGAATTCAGTAATACATAAGTAAAGTAATACACAAGTACATAAGAATAACAAGGAGACAAAACGCAATTACATAATAACTATAAATATAAAATACAAATACATTAAAACAGTATATAACATACATAACTTTTACAAAAAACACTTTATTCATGAACTTTCTAGGGGTATATACGTTACTGTTTTACATTTTGCGCTGTCAACGCGTGACTAAAGCACCGAACAGTGTTTAATGAAGCTGATGTTTTAAAGTTATCCTTTGTGCGCGCACGATTAGTGTGTAATTGGGTATTTTAGAGTAGAAAGTAGGAAAACATTCTGTTTGGTTCCGATAAAGGATACAAATCGATTTATCTAGAGAGGGCATAGAAAAAGCTACACTTAAATACTAATAGAAACTGAAGCACACCTTTAGCCTTTAGGATCATGATAACAGAATTGAGAAAATTCATTGATGTTGAGAATTTGATGATTCACGTTAAGTGTCCACATAATTAAGTAATCTCATTCATCAGAAAGCTGTAATAAAAATTAGTTTTGATGTCGGTTTGCGTTGCTATTAACATTCATACCTGGCACATTTTTGAAGCGCTTATAATACAAATACATCCCTTGTGAACCAGTAACACGGAATTCGAGAAAAAGTTGAATTTGGTCTAAACTTACACTAAAAGAGAGGGTAAATACGTTACTTACATAATTCTGCTGTAAAAACAATCCATATACACTTTCTCCTGGTGGTCAGAAATTTTCCATACACCTAAACCCAATCCTACGACGTGGACGTATGCACTTTTGCCAACTTCTTTGGCTCTAAAGTCCGCCTCGAGCAGAAGTGAGTCAAATATTATGGTCAGCCGCTTGTGGTAAATGTGATTGTCGAAAATATAATCCTTACCGATCTTGGATAAGTCAGTATATCTGGTACTGTCTTCTTTCGAAAGCAACTGCCTATTCGAATTAATCTATGTTATAAATTGTTGAGGGTTTTCTTTTTCTTTTTAGAGGGAGAAGTAAATAAAATAAGCATTAACAGTTTAATGAATTTTAAGGCGCAAAAGAAGTTTGTATTAAGAGGCATAAGCATATAATAGAAAAAAAGAAGTCCAGTTTGTCTGAATAGAAAATCATGAGAATAATCAACTCTTGCACAGATGCACTCATCACAGAAGCAAGAGAGAGTTGAATATTCTCTTAAATTCAGCGCGAATCCATCCAAAAGAATATAGGCAAAAATTTTGGTGCTTACATCGTATCGAAGCATAGAACTAGTTATGGTGTTTGGTGTTCCAGCAGAGGAGAGAGTGATACCATGGTCAAAACCATTTTTTGCTCGAAATGTGAAATTAATAGTCTAACTATTCAAGGAGGATCGAACCGCAAATTTTCCAGTTTGAAAAATGTATTTTTTTTTGCAGTAACGTGTAGTAGTAGAACTAGAAGTAGGTAGAAAGAGTCAATGCCTTTTATTTTAGTTGGGATTGAATAAAAACAAAGTTCGGACATTTCGATTTTTAAAATAATGGTTGGGTACGGTTGTAACAATATTATTATATCCGATTTCTATGTGCGTTGTATGAAGGAATTAATTAGATTAATAAAAGCAAATTCGGGAAACATTTATTTTTATGGATATTAACGTTTAATTAAGTACGACTGTTAGTGTATTACTTCATATGTTACACAAGTACCAGCTTAAATAAGTATGTCCGATGTGTGTTATTAACATAAGATTGTAGTTCGTGACAAAAATGAACAAACTGAGTAAACAAATCAAGTTTGCTACAACCGTATCTGGTCAACCTTGCTTATTATTATTAAATACCTCTGTTCAATAACTTCTTTGTAATCATTATTATCTTCTTCAAAATAATCCGCGAAAAGTGAGTGAATAGTATTTTGACATAATTTTCCATAACCGTTAGAAGCCTGGAAAAGTGAAATAATATGCCTTAGAATGGGATCTTAATAACGACGTAACGACCATACCTGATTTTGTTTGGGAGTAAAAACCATCTCCTGAAAGTCCATCACGTTTTCTTTCTTTAACCTGGGACCAATCAATCCGAGGATAACGCCCTCGTCTTGGATATTGCTTCTATCCGAACTGTAAACTGCTTTGTTCTTTCTATCTCCTTTGTTCACAAAATAAGTATAGGAACTAACGTAAATGAATGCCGACAATTTGATCTCGTCATAGCTTATGCAGTTGGCTATTATTTGAGGGGGTTTTTCTTCATTCGTGCCTAAATCGTTTAAGCGTAAAAAGAAACTTTATAAAGACTGCAATCTATTTATCCATTTTGATAACAAAGACTGTATTTATTTGTATTTTAGTTTCTATTGTGATCAATTGGAATTGGATTTGGTTTTTAGTTAGTTTAAATAGACTTTAACCGGAACCATAATTACTATACTGATAAACTTGTAGCTTAAGTTCGTCCATTGATCTTGAGCAATCCCTGATGGCATATGTCAAACATTTACCTAGGAGCTGCTAAAGTCCAATCAGATTATATATAGCCAAGACATGCGGATAATCCTTTATCAAGTCACTATACGTGACGTAACTGCACAATTGCTCCGACTGGAATATACAAACACTCAAAACAAACTCGAACAAACAAACAAATCAATATTTCAGAGATATTTGGGTTAATCGAGTATTGCGTCTGCTAGAAAGCAATGACAACTTTGAAGTTTCGAATGGAATACCCAGAATTTCAATGCAGATTCATATCCTATAACAAATTCTCAGCAATTCTCTCGTTCTTCATGGCTCAGCTAGCTAAATTATTCGTTAGGTAGGAGCGCGTGTTGTTGACGTCTTAATTTGTGATTTTCAATCAAGTTTACACTTATAACGGACAGATCTGTTCGAAACGTTATTGTCGTAGTTCGAAGTTCAACAAATCAAGATTTATTTAATGAATGTGATTTTAGAAAGACCCATGGTGTTTAAAGAAAACTTCGAGAAGAAGAAACTTTTTAAATTTTAATTATTTTTAAATAAGTAAGATGAATGAAATAACTGTTGCCATATTCAAGAACAAATATCTGGTATACGAACTCGGTTATTCACCAAAAATAGCTTTCTACAAAGCAAAACTTTTAAACGAGATTTTTATGTGATTTAATTAATCAACTGTTTCCGAACCGATTGTAACTAAACTAACGAAAACGCTCGTAATTCAGGCAACAGAACACCACATTACTGGATAATTCCGTACTAACAATTTGGCTTCGACTAAATCAAACTCGGCTTCTGTGATTTATAGCAGTTTAATTTCAATAGCTCCTTAAAAAGACGTACCACTAAATCACCCTAGTTAATCGATTCTCACTAAATTGGCAAAGTTATAGCCGCATAATATAAAGGAATATCGAAGGAATAATAATGACAAATGATTCTCTAAACTTACCGATCTTTTCCCAGTTGTGGGATCCTCTTTCCCCAGTAATCAAAAGAAATTTATCGTACTTCCCCATGAACATTACCGCCCGATTTTTAAGAAGTCTGTTTATGAAATCTCTCAGCGACAAGTCTTTGTAGAAGTTTTTTTCGATCGAACTTCCGTGGTCCCTTTTAAAAATGAGAAACTTTCCGAACAGTTCCAAGACGCTTTCGTGGACTAGTGGATAGACTGAATTGATGTTCCGATCAATGTACTCGGTCGTTACGTCCTTCTACGGTAAATTTATATAATTAACACTTATCTAGTTATAATATGAAAAAATTATTTGAAATCTCAAAAGTCGCATAGATCCAAACATTTTTCATTGGCGTTTGAAAATAAATGAAAAAAATTGTGCTGCCATATGAAGACATTAGGTCTTTAGCCAGTTTCAGTCAATCTCTGAAGAAGCCAACAGGATGATTGGCGAAACGTTAGCTAGTTCGACTCAACAAAAACCGAAGCAGGAGGCATCCAGAAGTTTTATAAAAAGTTAATTTCAGACTGTTTCTAAACCACTGGAAACGTAAAATTCCTAATGGACTTTAAATTATATGTACAGTCAGTTAATTTCTTAGGGATTATAGTTAATTTTTTATATAGTTTTCAAACAGGTTCCCCATACTTAATTTACCAAACTCTAAAGCGGCAAAAGAATGACATCTTAGACTGTTTTAAATCAAAAGTTTTTCCAGCACATCTTAACGTTGCAGTCGATTCACACTACACGAATTTTTATTCAAGCTTGCATCCCCAATCAACTTGAAACAACTTACCACCAATAATAATACCTGTATTATCGCTTCAAAAATTCTGGACTAACGTGGGTCAAAACATCTTGCTTATCTCATTATAAATGTATTAAAGACCAGCGCCATTCTAAGAAATGATTAAAAATAAAATTATAATTTCCATCTATGTATTTGAAATCACATGTTGCTTGTTTTTTTTAAGCCTATGTAATGTCTGATGAGGATTTCTTGTTGTATAAATCTAATTCCTGATAAACAATAAATAATAATAATAATAATAAAAATTATATTTATTTATATTATGAGAACTAAACGGAGTTGACATTTTTATTGGAATGCCCCAAATCGCTAAGTATCGTAATCGGATATTCCTTGAAGAGAGTTATAGGTAAACTGCAATTCATAATAATTTATTAAAAGTGCATATTATTATTAAATAAGAATAATAACACTCTACAATTGCAAGATGTTATTTAAAACATTTTGATCCAATTTGACTGGTCAAATAGGAAATTCACCAGCCCCAACTCTAATAAACAATATTGAAAATTGAAATTGTTGGTCGGTTTGTCGGTGAAGACGATATTTGTTTGGCTTGACGATGACATGAAATAATAAGTATCTATATTTGATAACCTATACAGATAATTTAGTTGCTCAACAGAACAAACTCATGGTGAGTGCCAAAGGATTATCAGCTGAACTTGTAGAATCCTTAGTGAAAGTAATTTAAATTCGCCCTCAAATATCCGAAAATTCAAACGAAATGAACGACATCTGCTGGATATGGAACTATTATTAAAAAACCGGTCAATGGATTATTGATATCAGTTATAGCGGGACCTGTTCATTTTACCAATGAAGCAAGTCAAAAGCTATTAGTTATGTTTGAACTAAACACAGAAGCTAAAATTTCGAGTTGAAAGGGAAAGTTGAGAATATGATTAAGCAGAAATTCAAATAGTGTCATGGATTATAGCATTTAACTTTTTGAATATTCATTTTCATTGTATAGCCATTTCATAGTTCTACTATAGGAGCTTTTATTTAATTTAAAATATTAGGTCGCGTGACTACTTAAATAATCAGTTCTCAGTTAATTTTCCGTAGAAACATACGACCATTTTCTATATCTAATATATATTTGATGTGTCTTACGTAATTCTGAAGTTCCTTCAATCTTCCTGCATGAGCTGGGAATTTAATAGGGAAACTGTCACTCCGCTCCATTATTTCAACAGCGGAGTGAGTTTTAACATCCTCTAGTTTCATTGTCAAAAAAAGATGTAGGTGATCCCCTAGCCAATCCGGAGATTTTGGTGACCATTGTAGTACCATGGTTCTGGAAACAAAACTAAACAGCACCAACAATTAAAATCCGTACCCGTAAATGACTGGTTACATCTAGAATATATTTATTTTTTTCCGTATTTACATATTATCGGAAAACCAAACATAAATTCTTGATATTAATTCATATTGATTTAATTTGGCATAAACCACGTTAGCTAAATTTTGGATTCAATGTTAGCCAGAAATCTTTGTTGTTGGTGTCGGTTTAATACGCAGTCTACGAAAGTTTATCTATTTGGTTTAGCACGCGTTGTACCTTATAAGTCCAAAATAAAATACTAAATTGGTTGGTTAATTTTGGGTTTGTTGTCAGCGGTTCTGGGTAGTTCAAAAAGACAGCATTTCTGTTATTGAAAAACCAAAACTACTCGAACTAATTTTTGTTTACCCATGGCGGGTTTTAATTTTAATATATTATAGATAATAACTAAACTATTAAATAGGTAATTGTAATTTTTTTTACAAAATAACTATGTAGTTAATGAGTTTAATATCATTAACCAAGTAAGCAATTTAGAAACTACATTTATTCTTGCATTAGTTGGTTGGATTGAGCAAAGTAGTTAATCTGAGTGTTAGGCAATTTTAATGTTAAGACGAATTAAAACAAAACCTTTCATAGCCTACCAAGCCTAGTAATTCGGTCAACGGTTACATACCTGTGAAGTAGTATATTTTGACACGAATACTTTTTTTTAACACATGACAGATAAGTAAATAGATAATAATAATTTTGTCTAGCCCTAGGACATAGAGTGTATAATAAAATGTACCTCAATAGTAAATAACTACCTAAGTATTTAACATTCGGATGGTGAATTGTTTTGTATATGTCTGGTAAGGTCTTATTAGTGAAAATATTCAAATATAGACAAATTTTAAGTTTTTTTTATACAAACTCCGATTCAATCTCATTGTTCTAAATATGCGTGGCGATTCATAATAAAAGCAAAATCTTGCCGATTCAGCACTTACAATTGTGAGTTTACTGCTACATAAGTATATTGTACGAAGTGCAGATGGTTTAAGCTTTTTAAATGAAATTAGAAAGTTACTCTACTTACATACAAGGTGCGTGATGCGTTGACATAAGCGCTATTGAAGTAAAAAACCTATATTGAATCAAAGTAAGAGAAGAGGAGCGGTTTGACATCTTATGGCTTGATTCACAGTTGGCGAAAGATGCATCTTTTAATCTATTTTATGAAATATTCTGAAAGACAATTAGAAACGAAATAAAAACAAATTCCAAAAATCAGAAAACTTTGACATCATTTTTCTTAGGAAATCAATATGAAAAATATGTACATTCTGCCTTTTCAATTACACTATTATTAGTATCATCGACCGATAGTTATTAATTAGTACTTTTGGTGTAGTTATTGCATAAACATCTTTATTACATAAGATTAGAACATATTACATAAAATTTAGAACTTTTCTTAGTTTTCCAAATTGACGATTCCGGTCTAATTTCTGATCACTTACGTACCAATTTACCAAACTGAAGACCTTCGTACATCAATAAGTCGTAAACATAAAATTTTTAGCAATAATCCGTATATTCCAATTTCTAAATTTCCCTTTAGTGTTATATTACAGCAGTTGGATACCTCTGCCCCTGTATTGCAGAGTTTTTTAATGGCGCAATGAAATAATATTACATTAATTATTCTTATTCTTTTAATTTATTTATCCCTGACTGGTGCATCTACCTCTCTTCAAAAGTTTTAACTCGTGCAATTTGGCCTGCCTTAAACAAGAAAATGTACCGTCAAGCGATAACCAACTATCGGTATGCAGATGATAAAACGATACCTAACAAATATACTTTTGATACTTTGATAAATATGCTCGTTGCACTTTTACAGATACGTACAAATAGAGATAATAGAGATAAACATGATCCAAATTAACTGCTAAAAAGTTAATTGCATTCATTATTGCCCCCTACATAATGTATACATATATAAAATACTGTACAGATAATCATAATATTTACTTAATACTTAATACTTAAAGATTTTTTTGTACGAATGAAATATTCTTATAGAAGTTTGTTGTACTAATAAGGACATAGATACGTATACACCAATATTATTATACTTACTCTGTTGACACACTACAAATATATTTTATCGATAAAAAATAAAACAATCCAGGAAATTAGAGAATTTTATTACACGGTGTTCGTGTTTGGAACAAATATGATATACTGATTCATACACACAAGTAGGTACCTGTTTTTGCTGATTTGTAAACAAGATCGTTCATGTACCGGTGGTGGAACACGGAAAACCGGTGGGAAAAACCTACATACTTTCAAGAGGTAAAACCTTAGGATCAAGTGCACCAAACAACACCTCAATATTGCGCCACTTTAAAGCAACTGGCCCGTATACATTTCATTACTACTAATTTATTTGTAAGTTAACCCAATCTATAATTGGTGTTTTACACGTTTTGCAAACAAAATTAATGTAAACAAATGGATTTTTACTCCTCCCACCTAAAATTGTTAGACGTTCGACAAAACACAAAGGTAGATTTACAATAAGTGACGAAATATTCAAAGCAAAACAGAAAAAAAAACAAAACCAAACGTTTTGGACAGATCAAGCTTTGGCCAATCATAGTATCGAATATATAACACCGGGGAACCGAAGCTAGAATAATAATAATATCTGTCAATGCAAAACCAAATGTTGCGGCGCATCATAAGGCCTCCCAAAAGCATTGGAAAATCACCTTTAGCCATGCAAAGTCACATGTATTTCTTACCGAAAAAGCAGAAATTATATTTCAAGATTAATGTTTCTCTACTCATTCATAGATATCACTTCGCAATTAAACAAACACATTGTTTTTTAGTATTTTAACTGCTTATAATTTTACTCCTTCATATTATATGTACTTAATAACAATATTTAGAATCTTGGGTCTTGTTTTTGAGTTGGAATTTTGTTGATTCTAAATCCAATATTTTACTGACAAGCCCATAGAGGGACCTACCGACATGAATTGGCTTTATTTAGTGTCATATCCTTGCGCATCCGCCAAAATTTTTATTTTTAATTAAAAAAAAAAATTGATTTAATAAACTGAAAATGAATGTGCATTAAACCAACCCTATTCCCTAATTATTAGACTACAAAAATCAGATCAATCAAACTAATTATTGCATTTAATAATTAAATACATATGTATCTATAAATGACTTTGATCTTGATCATGTGAAAGTAGTAATTAGATTCTAATTTGGTCTGCTTTGATTTTTTATTAAGAAAAGTAGTTTTGTTGATAGAAAGCTTTTACTGGATCATATAGATGATTTTATTTTAAACCTATATCACATTCTTGCTAAGCTAATGAATTTTCGTTTCCTCTTTCAACTTTTCAGTTCATTGTCATCTAGATCAATCTGTAATTCCTCAAAAGATTGTCCAAAAAGAGTTTCATGCCCGTTTCTAAAAATTCGTGGAACTGAATAGAAACTTTGATCCTCCCAGACTTCGTAAAAAACTTTAGGTCAAAGAAAAAATGTATTTTTTATTTTTGCGTCATTGAGACCATTGTGGTGACCGCCTTAACGAAACAAAAATATTCAGCAATAATTAGCTCCGCAATTAATTGACAATGAAAATTGCAAAAAATTTGTCGAAACTCTACAAAATATAGTTATTCGTTTTAACTGATAAAAAAACACATGATGTATGGGGTATAAATAAATAATTAGTAACAAAATTTATTATGTTTCTTAATAAAATAATAGTTGATATTTTGAAAGTCATAGTAAATATGCTATAATATAAGATACGGCTTATACAAACAATAAACTTTTGCTATGTGTGGACTAGAAGTTCACATACTTTATTTAATCTTTAGAGAATCTAATGTGACAAATGATTTTAGATTCGATTCTGTCTGAATTTAGCAACTATTTGTTTGTAAATACTAAAACAATCAACAGTTAATTTTTTAATTAAATCGGCGAAGTTAACAAGTTTGATCCAAATTGTGGATGTGTCTTGGATCTTATACTAGTTGTTGTGAAGTTAGTTAGGTTGCAAAGAAATACAGCGTATCAAAATACTATATTCAAACACTATACTAGACAACAGTCGGGCATTGGACACAGAGTCGGCCCTTAATTACCCGTTTACTCTATTGCAACAACCCACACGGCTTACCTCCCAGGTAAGTAGCGCCATGTTTCGACTTAATTCTACTGCCATTACTCAGCAGTGTTTTCGACGTGCTTATTTAGCTTATTCATAAATATTACAAACAATTCGTTATTTAACAATTATGGATCACACCTATCACTATGGATATAGCGTATCACTACATCTAGTTTTAAGATTTTGAAGTTATTTTCCGTTCACTCCATATCCCCCTCTTTAATTATGATATCCTTAAATTTTCAGGTGACGAAGATCATTTCAATAAGTTAATGAATTTTTTTGAAGAAAGACATATAGACAGAATTCTTACTATTCCGCTTTGGGAAGAATGAATTATTTTCGTTTAAACAAACCCACGCAGTGGGTTTGTTTAAACGCATCCCCCCCATCGTTCCCCCAAACGATTTTAAATTGGCGTATTAAAAAAGCAATTATAGATTGCGGGCTAAGTTTCATCCGCAGAAACACAATAATCGCAAATCAAAAAATTTATGTGCAGCCAATACCCTCTGCGAGCGTAATTTAAATCCTTTTCAATAATGCTCGCGTCTGTCTTTCAAGTAGGTAGCTAACCACAATTTAATTCGAACAATGCAACTACACACACGCCACTGTTTACAATAAAATTTATACGATCTGTTAGCTACAGGCTAACAATGGGGTCTAATAACTGGCTTCATGTATTCAATAGTCTACTACGGAGTGCATGAATATCGGGGTGACTCGATGAATAGAGGGATGGAACCCAGTTGATTCATAATATGTATTTTATAATTAAATTTTGATGTGATTGTTCGTCTGGAAACTGGTCTTTTAATTGTCCGTAGGTTAGGAGATAATATCCGACGTAAGATGAATGGTTTTACCTGGGAGATATTTTATTTGATTAAATATCCCTTTTATGTTTTGGTCATAACTCGACGTAAATAATACAATCTCGAATTTTAATTGAGTTATGGTTCGAGAGGTTATATAGGTGTCCCTTACGAAAAAATATAAAGCACCTGGAACGTTTTCTTTATTAAACAAGAAAAAATTACTACTAAGATGAGCTTGATTCGAATTTATTTGAAACATTATTTTCTTAAAAGGCTATTGGACATGTTTTTTTATGCATGGAAGTAAATACGATAAAATATTTTGAAACCCCAAAACGTCAACGTGGGTGGACCTATTAAGACGATTATTGCTGAAGTCCATGGATTTTTAAAAATGTAGCAGCAATGATTTCTTTTGAACATGTCCTTCTAAAACGCTCAAATATGCCCTGGAGGACCGGTATGAAATGCATGTCATGTACACCAACTTTTCCAAGGCTTTCGACAGTATCAACCATAATTTGCTTATGTACAGGTGTGAGAGTCTGGGTGGCAGTGGTTGTCTCCGCAAGTGGCTCAAATCATATCTGGTGGATTGCTCTCAAGTTGTGAGGGTAAATGATTATCAGCCCAAGGGTCTACAGGGATATGAAACCTTTTCATATAAACGATGTTTAAGGATCGTTACAAATACCATTGCTGATGATTTGAAGTTTTTCGCAATAGTAGTCATTCATATTAATAAGTGCATCCCGCTACTATCAGATTTGACCAGTACTTTGTACTTTGGTCTAAAGTAACTGGATTGACCTTAATGTGAAAGAACGTTATTCCCTCATCTTCAATAAGAACAAGAATCTCAACACTGAAATATACAACATAAACAATAGTCACAGGATTATGTTCACAGATCAGAGATCAGAGACATGGGTGTTGTTCCGAAGAGCCAAATGTTTTGTTCTTGTCAAAAAGCATTTTTTGGCGCTGTTAGATAAATTTTGGTATCAATAAAATGGCAAAACATATTTTGGGCTAGTCCAAAATGTAATAGCTGGCATTTCAATAGTAGCCGGCAATGATAAGAAAGTTACAATGTTTCCTATATTCTATTCAGTAATGTTAAAAATGAAAGTGAAGGACGATCCACACATGCACAAGAATTACTAAAAATATAGCTGAATAGCTAGATACCTTAATCATATTCTATATAGCTGTAACAAATATAGCTGTTGTGTGGTGTATTACACGTTAGCTTCCTACGTAAACATGTTTTAAATATAGCCAAAGTAAAATTATATCAAGAAAGCTGAAATTAAGTGAAAATGCAGTTAATTTCAATAGTTTTAAGAAAGAAACAGTCCTCTGAATTTTCCGTTGTGTTACAGTTCATTGCTGCTGTTAGCGGAAGTTTTAGCTTTTGCGAATTTTGCAATTTGTCAATTTTTATTGTAAGTCCATATTCGCGGTTGCCATTTACTGTTTGGGACAATATAACACTAGATTCGACATATTCGCAGTCGCAGTCGCCGAGGCGAAGTGCCGTAGCAAATATTACATATTTCAGGGTGTAAATATATTATTTATATTTCCACGTGTAAATATGATTAATCATGTTTTGATGTCTGTATAGTTATTTTTCACATTTTTATGGATTTTGAATATATAATTTGTATGAAATAAGAATATTTGCGTAGGTATTCAGCATACACAAGACGACAATATAAATTGAAAAATTAAAAATACTTGAAGGTTAAAGTAATGGATATTTTTAAAAGTTATTTGATGCAATAAATTTTATAATATATAAATATATTTTCAAAATTAAAACAATACAAATCACACATATACTTATTACAATTTTCACAGTCTCAAATAACTATTCTACCAGATTGTTTAATTTATTTGCACAGTGCAACCCCTTCATTGAAGTAGGCATGACAGTTGGGCTATTTTCCTATAAAAATTAAAATTTCTTATAAATTTCAGTTCTCTTGTTCTCATTTTACTTAAGTAATATTTTCCATATGTTTATGACACAGCCGTACAGTCAGCTGACTATTTTGTTACAGCTACAATAGAAAGAATCCTTCAATAGCGAGATCATATATAACATATTTTTAACAAATAAGAACGGTAACAGCATTTTACACGGATGTAGAGAATTGTTCTTTTATGCATGACACTAGATTCTGTTCACACGTGCTATCTAAAATGTTTGTTACTTTCTTTTAATGGCGTTATTGAAATTTTCTAAAATTAAATACTGGAAATTCTAGAAAAAAGAAACGAATTTATCTTATCTCCTCGCCTCTTCAAAAAAGATCCAAATACCCGCACGATTTTTATTTAGAGAAAATTCGCAATTTACGCGCAATTCTTGGCGGGATTGACATCGCTTTGAAGAATGTGAACCGTGTTATTTATTTATTTTTTTTCAATAGTATGCACGTGTGATCCCTTTACGCGAAGCAGATCAATGTCAACCGCACACACTGTTCCTTACATTTAATATGCCCCCAAAAAATTACACCCCTCCGCTCGTGGGGTGGCAAAGGCTAGCGATGTTTCCCGTCACATAGTTTTTTTGAAGCTAGTAAAATTTACAGAATAATGTTAATTCAATGTTAAATTTTACTTAACGGTCTATTGCGTTAATGTGTTAGTAATAGGGTTTTCTTAGTTGTCGTTATTTTGTAGTTTTTTTTAATGCTTTTGTTTTTTTCTTTCGCTGTAAAATGTGTTCCTTTAGCTGGATTTTTATCTTTGTACAGGGTTTTTATGGGTATTTTTTTCACACTGTCTACAAGGTCACTTATGAGAGATATAATAAAAGGGTAAATTCAAAACTTACATTATTTTTTATTAAACTTTCATAAATTTACCGCTTAAGGTTAAGGCAGATACTGAGTAAATTATATTATTAAAATTATTAAAGAAAGAAATTAATAACTTAATTAAATTATAAAATTCACATATAGCTTTGTTATATATAATAGGATGTTTGTATTTCAGTTGACGAATAACAACTTTGTTATTGTAAATATAATTCCCCGAATTTCTCGGAATTTTCAAGATATATTTTAAATATACTTAAGTTTTACTGTTTTCAATATATTTCGAATTTTTTGTGGAAATTGAAGAAATATACATTTGAAGTTGATTTTTTCTTTTTGGAAAATTATGAGCACTTTTATTCAAACGTCAAAGCATTTGAAAAATAACTCAAATAATTTTAAACCGCATTAAAAAATGACACTCAGAGACGAAATGTGGAACTGTAATTTTTAGATTATTGGACAGAGCGGAAAAATTGTAAATCCACAATTAAGTTTTGCTTAAAAGGTTTTGTTTTCTTGCGGGTATTCCGGAAATTATTTGCAAATTTTTAACTTCTTGATATAATACTGTTAGTTGTAGCTCTAACCGAGATCTCCATGCATCCTTACCTTTTATTCGAGTCAAAAACATAGTTACCAAAGGTATATAGTAATCAATATTTTTCATTGTTATGCTTGAACACCAGTTCGCGATTGGACGTTATTTATTTGCCATCACTGGCCATTTCGCAGGCACCGAGTAAAACCCTTTCTCGATATTGATTTCATTTATTAATAAAAGCAAAATATACAAACAATGCACCACGCAGAACCGGGTTTATACAAGTACGATCGACACCGAGTAAAACTACTCATTTCATTATTTCTACTATATGATATAACTATTTGTTAAAATTACATTTTAAATAACATTTCCACTAAATACTTTTAAGTATCTATTGCAGAGTTTTATAGAGTATCACTATCGATTTGTCTCGTGTAGTACAATTTGATATAAATGACGCTAAACTGCCGGAAGAGATAAATATGCTACAATCACAGTAAGAACCGTACCGGTTATTCAGAGTACGACGTTTTGTCAGACTCGGCATTGGAACCGGGAGAAGTGGCCTTCTCGCTGTTGTAAATATCTTGCAACTGACCTACCGAAAGGTAATCGGCCGGTGGTCGGATAATAGTCGGAAGGTAACCTGTGCCAGCGTAAGGTGCCGACAAGAATCGTCTTGAAGGACAATATCTGTGAAAGTTTTGCGGTGGCATCAAGGGTGGAAATGCTGGAGTACAAATATCGCTTTGGATCCCACCCACCATTAATTCCATGGTCTGAAGAACGTCTCCTTTGCACCTGTTGAATATCAAACACTAATAAGAGTTGATGTATCTTCGGTAGATGCACAAATTGTGCATCAAAAGTAACACATCAATAAAATTTGGGTGAACTTTAAAATTAATTTTTTCGCGAACTGCTGATTCGATTTGGACACATTTTTTAAATTGTAGGTAGATCTAACCATCAGCAATGATGTGATGAAAAAATGTTTTATTTAGATTAGAGTTTTTTGAAATTTGCATTAAGACTACTGGGTGTCTAAGTCAGTACATAGCTCTCAGCATCTTGTTTTTATATAGTCACGTGTTTATCTCAGTTATTAAATGAAATACTGAATTCAATGTCAAATTAATAAATTTGCCAGATGAGTTTTATAACGCCAGATCACATACTGCAAAAATAGTAGAATATTATATTAATGAGGTGAATATTGATTGGATTGACCTGACGCAGTGCAGACCTTAACTCAATAAAACCATCGACTAACATCGATAACGGTTTAATGCATGGGTCGTCTATGTCAATCAGTTATAAGGGGTATGGGAGAAAACAGCCGATATTAACTTTTTATTTGTTTAGTGCTTATGATTTTGTTTTTGTTTTGTATTAAACTGCAATTGTTACATTTCATATTAAATTCCGCATTTCATTTAATAAGTTAGGTAAAGATGTGAAGAAAAAACAAAATGCTGAGAAAAGATGGGGTATGCATTGATTTAGATAGACACCCAATTGTGTTGAAGGGAATACCGACAGAATTCATATTCATATTCTGTGTGTATGTTATCATACATTGACGATTATATTGGTTTTTCTTTAAACACTCTATATATGCCGAAAACTGAAATTTAAATAAAAATGTTTTTTGTTGGCGAGAAAATGAAATTTGGAATTGACCCAAATTTTAGTGCGTTAATTTCGTTGCGAAGATAATTATATCTACTTGTAGCTTTGGATTAGAATATTTAACGATATATTTTTATTAAAAAATGAAAAAGAGATTTATCAGATAGGGGGAGAGAACTAACTCTGTTATTGTTGTTGTAACATTATAATTGTACATTGTACGGTTACCAACTTTTGTTTCTTAAATTCACCTCTGCATGATCACACGGATTTTTAGAATAATCCTGAAAGGCCTCTTTTGACAAATATTAAAGTTAATAATGAAGTCCTGTTATGCGCCCGAAAATGGGAAGTTGTAACTGGATAGTTATAACAGCAATTCTAATAAGTCGAAATAAAATTAATGGTCCTTAAAGTTTTACTTTTAGAAAATGCGATTACCAACATAACATTTTAAATAAAAATATCTTAAAAGTTATTCAACTAGATTAAAGTTATTTTTCATGTTAGACATATTTTGCGATTTTTTTAATTAAAAGCTATACTCAATTACTATTAAATAGATAATTACATTTTTACTGCGATTTTAAACATATTTTTATTAATTTTTTTGGGTGGCCACTGACTTTCTTATCCGACAAATAAAAACATACGAAAGTTTTTAAAATTACAGTAAGGGCTAAAAAATGTTAAACCAATTTTCTATATAGCTTGGCAAAAATTATAATGGAAAAGCGTATCCTTGATAAAAGCATTACCGACTTTAGATATGTGCTGTTAATGGTCGAATTATTTCGGAAGAGGCATCATATTTCGTAGACCTTGAGAATATTAAAATAGTTTAAGTTAAGTTTGATATTTCAATTTTCTTAAGAACGAAAACAATCCTCGATGTTTTCTGACATATCACAGAATTGCAGCCAGATAACTTTGCTGTTGGATTTAGAGGCACCAAGTTTTATGTAGCTATTTAGTTAAATTGATGGATATTTCTTACAACGGCCAGCGGTAAGTGAAATTTGCCAGGAATGAAAACCCATCTGCATCATAAAATGTTAAAGGACCATAGTTTTGGGATCTTAATTTTTTTATTATTTTTTATTAGTATTTAATGTAGATAATTAATATTTATATTACATTCATCTAAATGGCTAACTTAAACGGATGTAGAAAATTTTATCTTTAATCGATAAATACGGATGGTAACACTAAGTCTCGGAATGATCATGACTTTGTGTTTTGCATTAGACTAAAGCCTACTATGAAAAATATACGCAGCAGTTAATAAAATCCCTAGAAAAGTGCAGCCGAATAAACGAAATTATATTTGGAATATCCTACCCGTTTTCAGGTTTTGCTGTCGCATTTCTTACCCGTAAAAACTGAAATTAGGATGATCATAATCGTTTAATCTACTCATTAAACAAAGTAACACCCCTTTTCGAATAACAAACTATTTAATAATTTAACTTCATCAGTAGCACATCATATTTATTTGTCTTAACTTTCATTCTTGTTTCAGATTCTGCTGATGATTTAAAACTCTTTTATTTTTAGTTTTATTTAGACTACCAACAACTGCAGGATGACGTAAATAATTTTTGTACTTTGATGAAACAAACATAGTTGGTTAGCAGTAGCCTGTGCTGTCCGCAAGAGTCTTGAAGTTAATTTAAACTGTGTTCACCACATCAGTAATATAATAAACAAGTATCTTATGATGACGCGCTTTCTCAAAATAAATGACAGAGATTTTTATGCTCAGACACTAGAATGAATCTCTTTATTTACGCTTTATTCACATAAATCCCATTGAGTGCGTGTAGAGAAAGTTTCTCCTCTTTAATTTAAAGTTTTTTTAACAATCGTTCCTTTGATTATGAAGCTCAAACTCGGTATTCTGCCTTCTGAAATCAAGCGTGGTAGTCATGACCTTTTTCTGTTCTTCCGACTAACTAATGCATTGGTTGATTGTTCGATCTTGGCCTCACAGATTGATTTACATTCTCCTGTTAGATCCACAAGCAGAATACAGACATTTCATGTTTCCTGTCATCGTACAAACTATGGGGCTAGTAGGTTTACTCTGCTTTTGCTAATTAGCAATATACTAAGCAAATTTACTTAGTAATCTGGAATTTTTTGTACTGAAAAAGACTTCGTGCTTTTATTTAAGCTCATTTAACCTGTTTTTCTTATGCCTTCATATTAGTATTAGTATTAATCTAATCTTGCTTTTTCTTGTATATTATATAGTTTGAAATTTGAAGGGTTGAAATTTTTGCGCAAAAGTAGTAAAATTACCAGAATAGAAACGAGCCGTCGCATGGCGTTACAAAAGACGCAACAAACTTTTACATATCAGTTTCCTAAATATTTTGGTGTGTATGTATGTTATGCATTTTGTAAATCACGACTGGAGTACTTTGTCCGTAGTTTTTTCTCCTTTAAATGTAAGTTACCTAAATTCAAAAACAATTTTTTACTGATGATTGATAGTAGATAGCGTTTGGTCATAGTGACCAATTACATCGTTCGCACTAAAAGTCGAATATTAAACAATCTGGACAAAAAGTCTCTATATTAATTTTATTTTTCAGTGGCCGAATAAAATTTAATAAAATATTTTCAACTAACACCCTAGCACCATAAATGATTATAGTATATTTATTAAGTATTTGTGTTTGTCAAGAGTAAGCGATACATTTATATGGCAATATGGCAACGATATTCATAATATGAATTGCGTTACTTGGAAAATATTAACGGCTTGTTGATTCTCCTTTGGATGTAACTGTGTAGAATTGGTAACTAACCTGTGCAAAATTGCTTCAACTTCTGAGCGACTTCTTCCCGGAAACACTCTTAGCAAAACATCAACCGGTGATCTCTGTGTAGCGAAGAAGGTCGGAATTTGAGAAATTTGGGCAGGCGGTTGGTGATTGTAGATGAAACTGCAAGTATTGTTCTGAAGAAATACATCCTGATTTGCTGCTGCTTCTTTTTTTAGGGACAAATTTTCAGGAACCTCTTGATTTTCGTCTTCTTCTATGTTAAGGTCTAAATTATCGTCCGCCTGGGGTGAAGACTGGGAAGTTATGGGCTGGGGAAGATTATGATTTTGACTAGAAGGGGATGATTGGCTACGCTGGGTATCTTCTGGATCAGAGTCAGATTCTTCAACTCGAAACTCGGAGCTGATACGAGGCCGTTTCGAAGCTGAAATGTTAAAAATTACACATAGAAATACAACAAAGTTACAATATAAATACAAGGTGTTTCTTAACCTCTTCGATAAAAGGAAAGATTGGAATTCCCATCTAATTTAATTTAATTAAATACAGGGTGTTGAAAAATTTTTTGGCAAACGACATTTCAGTAGTATTTGGTACACATACTTTACTTTGTGACCATTTTAAAGTTTTCAAATAGTTAATTGGAAGAGATCCTCTTAGTTTCTCAATGACTTATCAAAATAATCATTATTGCTGTACTTACCTTAATGAACCGTCAGAGAAAAATGCAAAAAAAATTGTTTGCTCGGCATTAATTTTCACGTTGTATAAGATTAACATATTCAATGCTAAACAGGCCCGTATAATTTATTTGTGCGAAATTATGTCCGACAGTGAACTGTGTTTAAAATGTTTAAAGTGGAGACAAAGTAAAGTACTAAAATTTATATATACCAAATATCACTGGAATATCGTTTGTCACTATTGCCACTGTATTTTAAAAATGAAGTGACATTCTATTTCATTTCCGTCTAAAAATTAAGTGACAAATATCTTATTCCTTATTTTCAGAGAGGTTAGGTAACCCCCTGTATATAGTGTGTCGCAAAAGTTTGAAGACCGTTGGTAGAAGGTTCGGACATTTTGCACTCACAATAAATTCAAGAAAAACTTTGGGGACGTTTCAAAAACATAGATCTGCAGGGGCCCAACTTTTTTGCAGTTTCTGTATAGGTATGAGGAATATATGAAAATGACATGAGTAAGCTTCAAATAATCTTTTTATATAAGTGTTTCTTGTGAGTTTGCTTAAAAATGTTACATAGGACCAAAGTATTCAGTGGTAACAACCAATCCTTCACCTAAAATCATTTTTTGCCTTTATTGATGTAATTATCAAAATATAAGCTTTTTTCTATATTTAAAAACATTCTTATCTACCGATCAGTACTGACAAAAATTCCAAAAAGATATGCGTGTGCTGAAAAATCAATTTGCCTGCAGTTCACCTGGCGAAAAATTATATTAATACTGTGAAGATACGATCATTGTAATCCCGGGAAAAACAAGATTGCTTTCAAAAAATCGTCACTGGGTGGGGTAAGTTCGTAGCGCGTAGCGCCAAGCAGTTTTGTATTTCAAAAAGAAATCGATTCGCGGTTTCATGTCAAAAAAGGGACGCATTGTTTTTTATCGTGCTTCTGTGGAACACTATTGTGACAGCAAACTTTGATCAATATTAATAATAATTAAATTTTGACACCCTGTACATAATGGGATCTGCTACGTTTTCTGGTCCAACAATTTTTCCAATAGAGTAAATGGTTTTCAAGAAAATATTTTTTTTCTGAAACTAGGCAGTACTCCGCAATAGTCGACGCGTCTGGACAGAGCCCGAGAACCAGTGATTTTCATATGCATTTTTTCAAATATCCCGAGCTGCGTGTGTGATGGGAGAGAAAATACCGATTAAACCACTTTTCTATATCTTCTATACATTTTGATGTACGGCAAATATTTTGCTCTGCAAAAGAATGATTTTCATGGACTCTAATATTTTTGTCTATAATTGAAAAACCCTGTACATAATCGAAAAAATGGTTGAAATAAAAGTTATAGTACCGGATCTTTCGCGTCTAATGGTTATAGAATTTGACCGATCGGGTTAATAGTTTTGGAGAAAATGTTCTTTTTTCTCTAAACCAAAATAACTCAACAACAATTTTCAATTAAAAAAAAAATAGTCGATGCGATAGTCGATGGCTCTCAGTTTTAACAGTATTAATGCAAGTGCGAACTTCTAACTCTTTGCTAAATTTGAAGTCGGTGGCTTCAAATTTAAGACACTTGTTACATTTCTTAATATAGCAATAAATTGAACACCCTGTACAATAGCTGAAAACCCTAAATACAAAAATTTTAACTGTGCATACGGGCTATATGACTATGTAAAAGAAACTGAGAACTAAAGCACAGCCTTCTTGTTATCGTCAATTACCATTATAACAGGATCCTAATTTTCAGTATTTTGCGAACACCTGGCACACCCTGTACATTTTTGAAAATTGTAATTGTCAAATTGCAAATTTTGTGGATCGCGTGAACGGTTTCCGAAAATTAATTTTTTTCTTGGAACCCTGCAATCGCGATGTTTAATTTTTTTAAAATATTTCCCACCCCCAGCCCTCCCTCCCAATTTCAATAAGTGCCGCTACAGAGTCAAGCTCCATGTGTATGATAAATTTGATGTCAATAACCTTCAAATTTCGGACACTTATCGTGTTTCATAAAGATGTTCGGAAAACACAGAAAAATCGCGAAAAAAACATGGACGCCATGTGATTTTTTTTCGACGCTGAGTCCATCTGTACCAATGGCGACTCTATAGGACCAACCGTTACCGAGATATAAGTTAAGCGCGTATACTATCGAAAATTTCGAATTCATCGATTTTTCGAAAGTAACTAGTGACAAAATCAAGACAAAAATTGTAGTCGCCATATAAAAACATCATACCTACTGTATGGAAATCCACCCTCTACTAAATCCTAAAAAGACGGGTTAATCATCAAAATAGACCAAAATGATGTAACTAAAAATTCTCATAAAAAATTTCTAGGTACCCAACTTGAATGTCTATTAAGATGGGCCAATTAAATTTAATATAGTTCATATTTTGCAATATTAACATTGAAATCTTCCTTAAATACCGCTTCTTTCATAAATGTATACTACTCATCAGTACATTAGGTAATCTCTTACAATATCATATCATACGGAATAATTCGATTAATATACAACTTAAAACTACTAGAGTCAGGAATCAAAACAAAAACTAAAAAATAAAGAAAACATTGAAATAGGATCTGACGTTCATAACTAAAAAGTTTTTTTAATTAGTATTAAATCAGAGCCGTAAACAAAAATAAATTCATAAATACTTAATAAACTTTACTTTTACTTATAACCTGCCTGTTTACGAAGTTAATATGAACAGTAGAAAAAAATAAAAACTATACATTCTGTGACACACTTGGGCTCTTTGTTTATCGGTCTTTTTTTGGTTAGTTTTGGTCTTTTTTCGAAAGTAACTAGTGACAAAATCAAGACAAAAATTGTAGTCGCTATATAAAAGCATCATACCTACTGTATGGAAATCCACCCTCTACTAAATCCTAAAAAGACGGGTTAATCGTCAAAATAGACCAAAATGATGTAACTAAAAATTCTCATAAAAAATTTCTAGGTACCCAACTTGAATGTCTATTAAGATGGGCCAATTAAATTTAATATAGTTCATATTTTGCAATATTAACATTGAAATCTTCCTGAAATACCGCTTCTTTCATAAATGTATACTACTCATCAGTGCATTAGGTAATGTCTTACAATATTATATCGTACGGAATAATTCGATTAATATACAACTTAAAACTACTAGAGTCAGGAATCAAAACAAAAACTAAAAAATAAAGAAAACATTGAAATAAGACCTGACGTTCATAGCTAAAAAATTTTTTTAATTAGTATTACTCTAAAAAATCACCTCATTACGGGCATGCATATTATAATATGCTTCCTGCTGAAATCAACAAAAACAAAACAAAAATAAATTCATAAATACTTAATAAACTTTACAAATGCATTTTATAACCTGCCTGTTTACGAAGTTGATATGAACAGTAGAAAAAAATAAAAACTATACATTCTGTGACACACTTGGGCTCTTTGTTTGTCGGTCTTTTCTTGGTTAGTTTTGGTAGTTTTGTTCTTTTTTCGTAATATTTTTTTATTTGTTTGTTTTATATAATATTTATTTTATTTATATTTTATAAAATATTAAAATATTGCTATTTTCTCTGAATAAAATTTTAAAATAATTTTTTTTAAATTTACTTCTTCTTCTTCAAAAATTTGTCAGTTCAAAAACTGTTTGAATCTTCAGTTGAGACCGCACATTTCAGGCGAAATATATGTGAAGGTACCTTTAAAACAAACGAGCCTCAATATTTGCCAACAAAAAACTCCAAATTCATGTGCGTTACCGATTATGATCATTTTATCCGCCAATCAAGTTCGTTTTAATCTCGACTAAGCGCAAAACCGGCCATCCGTACAACTTCGGTCTTTATTTTATACTTTATTTGTTATTTTAGTGGTGGAATTAATTAATTCACGAATCCCTCGATTTGGCAAATATGGTTCAGTAAATACGTCTCTACTCCGGCGAAAAACTTTTTTATTTGTACTATCGCGTGGTTAATGGTTGAACTTAAAGAGTAGAAAAATAATGAAAAACACGCCTGACTGTATTGCGCCACATCCACGCAGCTTATGCAGTAAATCTTTTGAAAAGACCCTTTAATTGATCAACCCCAGTTCACTTCTTCCTCTAATGACTCTTGAAAACGATACAGAATAATTGGAGAGGGGAATACGGTTTACTATAAGAAATATGTATGTGAAACGTTTTGGGTAATTTGTCTTCGATCGCGTGTAGTATTATAACTCTCAGCGAAATCAGCGGTTATCAAAAGAAATATAAAAAACAGATGGGGATAGTTTGGAAGTTGCAACTGAAGAAGGGGAGTGATGTATTAAAGGGTGCGTGGAGGAGGTTATTCAACGGGCAGTCACAAATTTGGACACGTTGCAGCGGCTGTTTTAAGCATTTTTATCGAATAGTAGGTACAGCCCCGTTTAAACTTTTTTGTTATAACTGTTTAGAAAAAAATTGAGATGTTTTTATACATGTATATGTTGAAATGTATTTCTTCTCTATACATGTTATATAAAGGAAATAGGTAACACATTTTTTATTTTGTTTATAAATTGTTTTTCTGATCTCTCGTGAAGGGTGATCCATTACAAAATATACCGGGTGACACCAGAAAGTGGGAAGACTTTATAAATTTTAAACGGCTTGGGATACCGATTTGAAATTTGGAAGGGTTAATGTAGGCTGAATGTCCATGTTTTTGACAA